CTTGCGTGTCTGGAGCGGGGCCCGCTTGCGTGTCTGGAGCGGGGCCCGCTGGCGTGTCTGGAGCGGGCCCGCTTGCGAGCAAACAGCTTTAGCGCCGGCGACTGTACGTTTTGTCAATGGGTCCAAGTGTCGCTCTAGTGGTCGCTCTTTTTGGGAGATCTACCATGAGAAATCTTTGAGGTGTTGAGGACAGGAGAAGCTGTTTTCACCACTCGCACTCCATGTGCATACAGACATCAATCTGTTCCGCAATTCTTGACTATGGCAGAAGACATAAGCTTCGCTGTTGGGGAAAAAACTCATCCCGGACGCCTGGCCCATCACCCACCCATCGCCTGCCAAGAGCTCCAGGAGTGCTGATGTTGTCTGCAGTGGTGCTGCCACGTTCCTCGAAGGCTGGACGATACGAGAGAAAACGGTGCAAAACACGCAGATATAGTAGGACATCCTATGGTATCAAGAAATTTCTGCCCTGGAGATATCCTATATCGTATAGTATCAAGACATTTCTGCCCTGGAGATATCCTATATCAGTTCCTATATCGTATAGCATCAAGACATTTCTGCCCTGGAGATATCCTATATGTCGAGTCCTATATCGTATAGAGTATCGTATAGTATCAATGTCTGCCCTGGAGTTATCGCAGAATGCAAACAGAAGTACAAACAGAGTTATCACTGCAATCATTGACCTTCAACTTGCGTCAACGAGTAATCAGTTTTAGCTTGCTTAAATGTCTTTTGCTTGGCGCCCGCATGCACTAATGCTTTCAAATGTCAATGTAGCAAGAATGAGTGCGAGGATGCTACCAAACACACCAGCTCAACTGTGAAGAACACCCTCAAACAGAAGCAGAACAGCTGAATTCCGCCCCTCAATCACCCTGCACCTGGCCATGCCATCCGGTGGTCGGAATGCGCCTCAGATGTCTACTTTGTGAGACTAGACTGGAATCGGTGCTGGAATCAAATAGCTCCTCGATAGTCTCCTTGATCACTGTACTATGACTAGCACTGTGACTACTATTACGCCCATTGATGAAAAGATCACTTCTGTTGAGTCTAGTGTTGTAGACTCTACAGATCAGTGTGACCAGGGCTCTGTTGACTTGACATGGTCTTTGGAGTGACCAAATGAGCCATAGGATGAAGCAGGGGAAAAGAAATTGACTGACAGAGCGGTGGGTATGCGGAAGTCGAATGGCTTTTAATGGTTCTTGTTTTGCTCCACATATTCTCCATTTCATCTCAGGGCAGAGATGTTCTTATACTGTACCTACTTACTGCTGTACTTTACTATGTTCACACAGTTGTTCACACTATACACACTATAACCGTAATGCAATGCTTCGCTTTTCCGCTCGCTTTTGTCCCTGTCGCTGCGTCCTAAAGGCTTGGTGCAGCTTGGGTGCCGCCCCTCCCAGCAGCACGATCTGTTTGATGACTTGTTTGGTGTATCTATGTTTGGGACACAATCCATCCTGCTGCTTCAACCCAACTTCCAGAATGGAGGTCTTTCGAGGCTCCAGCCGCCAGCACCAAGGCCTCTACGACCCAATGAACCACGATGCTGCGTGGCCATCTTGCAGCAGCTTGCAATCCGGCAGGCTCAAAGGAGTGCTCAAAGGTATCCATGCTCACCTTTAACGTCACTCCAGCCCGCTACAACTCGTGGCGAGAGATGGCAACCCAGCAAAGCCGCATCGAAGCTGCAACCAAGTCTGCAACCAGGTCATGTTGACCACAAAACACTGAAGTCAAACTCTGGTGGTGGGAGTCGCACCCTCCTTGGCTTCACCAAGACGCCGCTGGACAAGCTCTTGCAAACCTGCGCAAGCTTGCAAAGATTCAGCTGTACCCTCCGCGGGCTGCAGAACCTGTGAGCCGGCAAGTTGATGCGATGCCGGGAGCCGCCACTCATCAAGACAAAAAAGGAAGACGGCATCATCTGCGAGCATAGCTCGCTCAGCGCCTCGATGCTGTGATGCTGGAGAATTTGGCTGGTGCTGGTACTCCGCAGAAACTCACCTTGCAGCTGCTCAAAGTCTCCCATTGCACCGCCGGGCCTGGTTTCCAAGAACTCCAGCATGTTCTTTGCAACGAAGTTGCCAACTTCCGGAATTTGCCTTGCTGCCGTTTGGAACATGGAGCTGTTAAGACTTCCGGCCACGGCCCTGTCAAGTTCCACCGACCACATTTTGAAAGCTTCGGTGTCTGTCGCAGCGAGGAGCAACCTGTTGCGAAAGCATGTGTCATCACGCTCAGCCCCAGAAAGCTCAGTGGTTGTAATGCTATTCCGACCAAAGCGCACGCTGTATGTTCTCACAAAAGCATCCTCAAAGGCGACTTTTGTGTCCAGAAAGGCAGCGTTACCTTGGACGCTTCTCCAAGCCTCCCACTGCTGCAGCCAATGCACAAAGTCACTGCTTCGCAAGCGGCTGAAGAGGAAGAACCTGGGCAATAACCGGCCACATCAATGAACACGAGACGGAAGCCGAGGGAGCACTAAACCACCCTATAACCGCACCGAACGTTTGTGACCATATCTCATCTGCCATACTGGCTATCTGCGTTACTATCTGCTAATCTATCTGCCATCTGAGAATAAACGAGTTCAAACTTGTTCTTGACTATGATACTGTTCGTGATACTCATAGAAAAGAATTATCGAGTTCTATGGGGGCTGCTCATGCCCCGCTCAAAGATTTCCGATCGTATTTCTCACATGTGGGGAAAGTGGTTACGTGCGACGATGAGTGCGACGATGCCGAGCCCAGTGCATGACCCCTTTCAAGCCAAGAAACGCAACTGCGAACCAAGGACGGCCAAGGAAGCACCACAGCTGTGGCTCTGGAGAAGGCGCTGGCAAATGCAGCTGGAGCATCTGCACCACTTCCAAGAAGGTAGCCGTGGTGCGATGCCGCGCACTTACCCAAGGCTTCGTGCGCCAGCCCTCGCCTCGTGTGATGGACAGCTTCGGCGACTCTTGGGCCTAAGAGTGAACAAAGGCAGGAACCCCTTGGCACTCAAAGCGCGCCGCCCCCTCCTGGCGTGGCAGTGACACGCAACAAAGGATGGCAATCATGTAGCTCACATACGTCTCAGCCAGCGTTTCAAGTGCAGCACCAGGCAGCCAATCCAATTGCTCTGACGGCTCTTCCTCTGCATCAGCTGCCAGCCGTGACCGAGTCCGTGGCCGCTTGTTGCAACTCTTTGCTTGGCCAACGCCACTGCCAGTGCCACTGCGAAGGCGTTCCCAATCAGAAGCACTTTGCGACATATTATCGAGATCGCAGGCGTGGAAGAGTGCGTGGAAGTTGAGTAGTGAAAGTTGTTTAACATGTTCCTTCATTGCTGTAGTCATTGCTGTTTGACACTGTTGTTGCTACAGTTGTTGCTAGCTTCAGGGCATGCTCGACAGCCAGTTTGTTTCTGCGTGCTCGTTTCCGTACGAGTCTGCAAGAGTCTGTAACCTACTCTACCAAGTTTGTATCATGCGTGTGTGCACAGTCGCGGGTGGCTGTGACAAGTCTGATATTGTCTATAGCATTGCCTAGTGTATTGTCTATGTAATACTGTAGTACATACTGTTTGCATGACAACGTTTCCTAAGAAGACATCTCTGCCCTGAAGCTGAGCTGGCTGTGGCTATGATTGCATACTGCCATGAATGACATCCAGCCATACACAGGTCAGCCTCATACACTCATCTGTTCCACCTACCAGGCGGTTTTCTCGGGACAAGGACCTCTGGGAAGCAACAACGGCGACCCCGTGACGACATGACCCAGAGGAACCGACCCTTCCAAAGGCCGGCCAAAGGCTTGTGAGTAGGCTTGTGATCCGATTCCGTGGTGAATCAAAAGCAGGAGACCGACCGGTTGACCGATACCTGGGTACGGTCAAGCTGTTTGGTTCTCATGGATCTGTTCGTACCGCCGTGTCGAAGGTGAGCCAGGGGTCGTCTTCTATGGTCGTCACTCGTACCTTGTGAGGAGGTACGAACGGATCTATAGGGGATGTTGGGGCTCCAGGTTTGGACCTACGTAGATTCCGTCGATTCCAGGACTGGCTCATCGCACTTTATGAATATTGTGGTGATATACATCTTTTTGGTTGGTTCAAGGTAAAAAAAGGTGCCTTGTTCACACAAATCCACGGAAAAAACATATGGATACATATGGGTACTGTAGTACCTTGTTCATACATCTCTTTGCATCGGGCATTGGCACCAAGTTTTCCAATGGAAAGACACTTGGGTCCCAAATGTTCCTAAGGAAAGCACAGGGATGCACACCCTCAGCCCCCCATGCCCATCACTGGGTTTCCCGACGCGGGCTTCCCGACGCTGTGACCATGGTAGCGTGTGCGAAGTTCATGAGAAACTTTGTGTGGTCAAACAAGCGACATGCATGTTTGATGCAGCAGAAAAGCCCCTCAAGGCCTTAAAGTCAAGGGGTCTCGTGCTACGTATCTTATTTTCACTGTTCTCGCAAATAATATGGCTGCAGTTATGGCTGCTTAGCACGAGAAGCAGGTTGGGCGCTCATGCACTTCCTGTGAAGGTATGAAGCTGGACAGGAATACATTGTCGATTTCACGCGTTTGAGTCCAAGCTTTCAAACATAGATGCATGTAAAATAGCAAATGAAATGTATAAATTAATGGAACAAACGTACGGGGGACCCTCATATACATTGTTAAGGTGTGGGTGTATGTGATTTGACATTGTTGGCATATGTTATATGCTATATAACAACCATATATGTCAGGAATAGCAATAGTTTTAATATTAATAGTAGCAGGAATAACAATAACAATACAGGTTTATATATATGTGGTCCCATTGGCCGTGTCTGGGAGTAAAAATCATTGTCGAGATCATCGAATTCGCGGGCGCACTGCTTGCCGAAGGGGAGGTCGCAAAGCACTGCGTCGACGGAAGAGCTCTTGAGCCTCACGGTGGGGTCGCGTCACAGACGAAGGGCACATGCAATATTGCATTGGGGTGGTTGAAAAGGGGTGAATGTAGGCAAAAACAAAAATATATATATATATATCATACATGGAGTGCCTGGGTTCGCAATCACACTTGTGGATCTTGTGGCTGAAGAGGTCGTCCACTTTTTTTGTGGCTTCGGGGATTTAGTCCAGGAACTGGCAAAAAATCACACCTGTTCCCCATGCCAGGGGATTCACCCAGTTCTGGAGAAGAAGAAATCATCTGATCCGCCAAACCCGGGCGGTCAGTATGACGCGAATCCTGTGGCAGGGTCTAAGGTCTCAATTTGGGGGGGACCGGTCAAGCTGTGAACGGAGCGTGAACGGGCATGTCTGGGCACTTATTACACTATCCCCAGCGGATCCAAGTCAGCGCAAGACGAGTAATCTATAGATGTTGTTTTTTCTATGGTTTTAGTATATGTTTGAGTCCAGCTGGATCACCTGGTTACCAGCTATAGTGGTAACTGGATCCACTGGCTAATAGTAGTGTAGATGATACCCTGAAAGAATGAATCTCCGAACTTGGGGAGCCTCATATATTTATTGTCTATATATTACAAAGGGATGGTTAGCGTTCGCATGCGTTCGCATCTCTTGCACAGAAGATTGCAAAGCCGTGCCAGTTGACCAGCGCTGGCTGCCATGGAATTCATTGTATTATATCTAAAAACCACAAAAACACCAACTCTCCGACTTGCCACTTGTCAGGAACAAGCACAGAACATGATCGAAGAATCACATCAATCACAAAAGAAAGGCACGAGTGCCTTCCGTTCTTCACTCTTCAGATTCCAAGTACCCACCGTATGGCCATCTTTGCCGACCCCCGTTGGTTGCTTGACCTGGAAATCCAGTCCCAACCAGAAACAGTTCTGGTTGTTCCAATTTCTCGTGCCAGCTTGGGATCCTTGACATCACAAGTAGCTGGGACCGGGGGTGGTTGGGCTTCCAGGACATGATGATCACTAACTCCTCTGATATTCTCTGAGTCTGGTTTCCTGGTGTTTCACCCCATCCATCTTCAAGAATTCCTGGAATCATCTTGCCTGATGGGGATTCACCGATTCACGCGCAAGAAAAATACCTTCCAAGACCTGAGGCCAGTTGGCAACCCCAAACCCATCCATCTTCAACAGTCCCTTGGATTTGGTGTCCAGGACCCGGTAAAAAAAAAAGAAACAAACAACAGCCAACAAAAAAAACACCTCACTATTCCATCATATTCCCCATGCCAGGTGGAACATCACACCTCCTAACTCAGCAAAACGCTGGGCTCCTGTCCAGTCTCCCCGGGCTCTCCAGTCTCGCTCGTCTCCGGGCCGCCCGCGCGGCAGCCGTCGGGCGTCGCTCCGGCCGAAGGACAGCGAAGCACATGGAGCCTGGGACCGAGACGATGTGACGTAACACCCGACTCGACATACCAGGACACTACGTATATATAAGGGGTGTCGAACTTGATCTAGCCCCATAAAAGACTAGAGGTGATTCGGGGTGTCCATGAACCACCCCGACAGTGGGTCCTAGTATAGTTCTTATGTGTGTTCTATTATGTTGGTGCTGTGTTTTTTTTGTATGGCCAACTCCAGCCTTTCATGAGGTCCATTCCAGACCTGTAGGGTCATGAAAAACATTCGCAGCTCCCGGTCGCTCTACGTGCCCTACCACATTCTTGAAAAAGTGGATTTGCTGATTTTGGACGTGGGGAAAAATAGAACATCTTCCCCGTGCCAGGCAATTCAACCAGTTCTGGAAAATGTCACATCACCCGAATGAAGCAAGACCCATGAAGCATTATATACTCCTTTGGTCGAAATGCAAGCTTGCTGGGCTCCGAATCCTGCGCAGTTCTGAATGCCACACTCCAACACTCCATGACTCCACGTGGACATCCGGGACCCTCAGGCCCGGACCGCCTCCAGGACCGCGGAATTCTTCCGAGAGCGCTCCTGGTGCTGTGGAAGAACGGGCGGCTTCTCAGGTCCGGAGCTCCAATCGAAGACAGTCTCGGGGATTCGGGGATTCTGAGCATCGGTGACTCGTGGCTCGTGACTCTCAGGTGTTTTCTGAGCGTTTCAAAGGTGGACGACAGGACCTCGAGAGGTTGGGATAGGCTATGGATAGGCCATAGGACTCTAAGAGAGGTTGGGAGACCTTCTGGGACTCGGGATAGGCTATGGTCCATGAGACTGGTCAACCTCAGCCGGCACGACTTGCCAGTCTTCGAGGTTGGTTAGGAAAACCCTAGTTGTGAGGGTCAAAACATGTCAAAACCCTAGCGAATGGGGTTGCTTTTCCTTGTGGAGTTTTGGGTCCAGAACATCAGATCAATTCCTCAGACCACAGCACCTGCTTCGGCACCCTCTCCAGCTGCTTCGGATCGTCGTCCAAGCCCAAATAGAAGGCGCCAGGCCAGCACTGTGCTGCCTCATTGGACTGCCATTCCGGGCGTTTTTTGGTGTCGGATCACATGTGACACATGACCACCATCAACCACCTATCCCTGATGTTGGCACCACGAGAACTGCATGTCCCAACCCGCTCACTGCAAGGACTCTGAAATCCGAAAATTGCAGCGGGAACGCAGCCAATGCATCTGGTTTTGGCGGCCTTTCCTTAAAGTCCTCAGCGTTTTAAGTTGGGGGTTGGCTGTTCAAAGCCATCCTCTGGTTTTGGCAGTGGATGATACCCTTCTCCTCCACTAACCCTCTTCAAAGTGGAAAAAGCGAGGGTAGCCACGCACCTTGGTCCACTCGGGCACCATCTTCTTCGTTTTCTGCGTGCTTAAAGCGTGCTTCAGCGTATAGAAAGGAGAGACGTCCAGCAAACAGGAATTGATTCTGTTTTGCTCTTTGGTTGGTTTTGCCCCAAAAAGCCTCAGTCCATATTTAGCCATGTTTCACATGTTTCACAGTGCTACATGAAAAAAGACCGGGTGCCGTTCGGCCTTTTTCTTCGCCCGAGGTACTGCACACCCCGTCCGATCGATGTGACTTCAGATTGACCCCTGTTTGTAGAGGAAACTTGCTTGGATTTGCTGTCCAGGAGCTGGAAAAAAAAGAGAACATGTATACCTAGATCCTCCCACTGTGCCAAATTTCAGTCTTTTGGCTGGTTTTATAGATGGACAAAAATAAATTTGACACCATTGGAAGATCCAGGTATATATAATTGATATATTCCCATGCCAGGGGATTCACCCAGTTCGGGACAATAAACCATCACCTCAAAAGCCAGAATTGTCTTCCAAAGGGCCATTGTCCTTGGTCAGTTGCAGGTAGTTTAAGACTGGTGCCTCGTCCCGTCCGGTCTGCCTCCAGCAAAAGGATGCCAGAGCCACACATCCTCACGAGTTCTTGCACAGGACTTGGCCGGCGATAGGTTGGGATGGGGTGGAAGAATCTGAAGTTCCTCTACCAAGGCAAGTCCAAAGAGTCAAATTATAAAAAGAATTGTCTTTAATTAGGTACCTGAAACGGAACGTCCTTTGCTTCACTGGGGCAATATAATGCATAGTGTTTTCGACTTCTAAAGCAAGTTGCCAAGTCCCAAGTCCCAACTGAGATCGTCATCTTCTAATTTTGAGAGGGCTCTCGGTCTGAAAAAAACGGTTCATACGTTCATCCAACGGAACCTGGGCAGGTTCCCGTTCTTTGTCTCATCCAAAAACCGGTCTTTGAGGCCAAGGCCACAACGGATAGGTTCGTTGAGTATCTCTGAGTATCTCGTGGCGAAGACCGGAAACACACGCGTGACGCTATGGCGCGCGTGTTCGCGTGTTCATCCGTTTCATTCGAAGACTTCCATCGTTTCAATTCGGCGAGTTGCGGATCAAGCACCAAGTCCCCAGGAGAGGGTTCAACGGTCCTGGAGGGTCGTCGAAAAGGCACCGAGCAGAACGGCAGGCGAACGTGTGGCCTCGTCCGACGAGCGTCGACTGGTGACTGGTTGCAAGTTGCTGCTCAAAATCGTTGGTCAACACGGGCCGACGGTTGCCCACAATGATGTATATGCATGGTTCCACACACAATACGAAATCCGACTTTTTTTGGATCAAGTGGCTGGCAGTAAGGCTGGTGAGGTGGTGCGTTTGGGAAGCAAAGTTTGTACGAATTCGTAACCCTCCAGCCAAGTTGCATGTTCTGTGACATGTTCTCGTGGATTTCTCCAAATCCAACTGACATTAGAATGTAAAGCAATATATAGACCAGAATGGCCACGAACTTGCCGTGCTCGTTATGACCTTGTCCAGAAAGGACGCTTGTCCGGGTGGTGCTCTTCACTTCGGACTCCATCAAGCTCCCCTTGTTCGGCCCTGTCCTGGCCATGGCCCAAGCTACCGGCTGGGAGAGGCCAGGGAAAGGCAGTTGAGCCTGGAGAAGGACGTCGGCGCAGTCGCTGCGTCGGACGAGGTGCATCCAGGTGGAGGGTGGGGGCGGTCGACAACGACACCATCATCCGCCAGGCGCAGTCGGTGCTTCCCCAAGAGAATTCCCACACAGAACCTGCCCATCGATCGCCGCCTGGCGCCCAAAATGGGGCAAGTCTCAGAAGGAACCATTTCTGAGTTCAGATATATATATATATATCATCCATTCTGACCCACTCACCTGGCATATTTGGTCTGGAAGATCCATTTCGGGGCAGGTCGCTGCATACCATGTAGACATGTACATCGTGGGAGTGTAGGTGAGGGGTGTAATGCAACAGACTCTGAGGGGTTCAAGCGTGGCCTTCAGATCCCCCCGAGATGATCAAACAGCACAACTTCTGTTCCCAAGCTTGCCCTGCTTTGGTGTCAACCTAATTGAACAGAAAGTCTCGAGATTCTCCGCAGCGATTTGTTTTCATCAACGGTTTGTTTTACGGCCAGGGACATGTGCGCATTTGGGCCCTGATTGTTTCCATCTGTACAAACATGTAGAGAAAGGCACTATACTATAATATAAATATATATATATATATAGAGAGAGAGCGGGTGGTCGTGGGGCCTGGGCTTTGGTTTTCCATAAATTTAAGGTAAATGTTTCAGTGCCAGCCGCTCTCCATATAGAAATGTATTCACGAGCAGTTTTGTTAGTTTGAAAGCAGCAATCAGTCATTCAGATGGTTCATGAAAATGTGACAAGATAATGAGGAAAGAAGCAGACCAAGGAATCAAACAATGTGTGTGTACAAGACAAACACACACTTGCAAAAAGGCACTTATTTTCACACTTTGCTTCAGGTTTATGCAGCAGATAGCTCTGTACATAGGCCAATCTCAAAATGGGCATAACTTTGCGAAAGCATTGCTCCGCTCAGCGATGCGATGCAGGTCGCTTGAGCATGCCGGCAGGCCGCTTGACACATGCGTAGGACTTAGACTTGCTCTTGCCTACCTTTTTGACACCCGTAAAAGAAGGAGCTATCAAGTCCATGAAGTCATTGTGCGCAATCTCTGTTTTGCCATTCTTCTGCAAGTCACCTGCCAAGACGTCATCAATATCGTGGTTGCAGGGAATATTGCACGCATGTCGTCCAGCTCCTTGGTCGAATTGAGCAGAGGAATAGCGTGCCCACACAGTAGCATCTTCTTCCTGAAGCAAACAGAGATTGAGGGTATGATTGCCAATGCGTGACACAAAACAGCAAAGTGGTCAATTATGAAGCATGCAATGAAGGAAGACAAGGGACAGACGGGTTCAAGAACGCCTTGAGGAAAGATGCATCCATGCGCTGAAGAAGCCCGTCATCGAAGACACCGGGCTTAAACTTTGTGATCGGCTCCGCCTTGAAGAAGTCAAGGTGCTTGGCAGTTACGATCGAAGGTACCAGATCCGTGCGCGCTGCCTGTTCAATTTCAAATTGAGACTGAGCAAAGAGAACCGTCTTGGAGCCAAAAGATTTCCCCACACGTGTGCGTCCGATCCATGTATCGCATTTTGGCGCATACTCGGCAACATATGCACGAGGACATTGTCCAGAAACCACGGCACGAAGCTTTTCAATGTGGAAGGCCAATACTCAAGAGTCTTGGCATTTTGTCTTCCACGGTAATAGTTCAGCAATGCAGTGGTGACTTTTCCTTCACTCCGGCCTTCGAGTGGACCACCCGGTCTGTGCACTTGTTCGTCAGTCCATTCCATAAACTGATTTCTATTGTTGCTTCTTGGCCCGTGGTCCCGAATGAAGCGATAGCCGTTCTCCCGTGCTTCCTGATCTAAAGTGATCTTTTTCTCAAGCTTGGGCTGTATTGTCCATAACCGCAACTGCATGCCACCCATTCTGTCGAGCATATAGTTGGAAGCCATGAGACCATTTCGGCTGTGTGATCCCCAATCGAAACGCATGGGGGAACCATGGCAAGTGTTGATGCAGTCCTTGGACATGACCTTGTTTTTGTGCATGTAGATGTGCTTGAAAATATCCACAAAGTTGTCATCTGGATTTGGAGGATCAGCCGCAGGGAGCACCACGATTTGCATGCTATAGGGAACTTTGGGCTCTTCTTTGAGATTGAAAGGAGATGGTAGTTCACTATACTTTTCTTGCACACACAGTCAATACAAGGTATGATCAAGGAATTCTTGAGTGGCGTTGCATTTGTGGTTCAGAACAATGTCGGCGTATTGTTCCACCTTGCCTCCCATCGAGTCCATATTGCGTAGAGGTAAGTCTCCGAGACAGACATCTCCACAAGGACGATCGGACTTGAAGTGTCGTTTCTCAGGTCCCACGAGCTTCTGACAATTGACCTGGCCCAAGGCTTCGGCGAAGGTCAGGGCCCCGTCTTGTCCACCGAGATCACGATTGAACCCATCGCCGCGGCCTAGTTCCAGATCAGCCATGTGGACGCAGAGGAAAAGCGAAGAAGACACGAAGATGACGAAGGTGTAAAAAGCTTGAGCGACAAGATGCATCAATCGAGAAGGCTTTGAAATTAACAGCAGAAGCAACATCAACAAGCAAAAAAATAAGCTCGCAAAGATTTCTAACTGTTTCATGTAAAGGACAGAGTGTCCTCGCAACTGCATGTCAAGAAATGCAAGTGGCAACCGCATTGATACCTGTCAGCAGTTAATGCACTCAGACTTGTATATGGAGATGTGGACAAGGACACAGGAAGTGTTGAGCTCAGACGGTTTCAGATGTAAGCAAAAAGAACAGATGCCTTGAGATGAGAAGTAAGCTCAGATGCTAAAACGCAAAAACCTTGGGAAAACTTTAGAGACTCTTGGCTGGACCCTCCAAAATCAGAAAAAAAAATTGTTGAGAACCCCCCCCAAAAAAAAAGAACAAATAAAACAATTGTGGGGAAGTCTTGTCTCTGAGAATTGTTTTTTTTTGGGGGGGGTATTTTTTGTTTTTTGGGTTTCCCAAGGTTTTTTTTGTTTTTTTTTGTTTTTTCTGATTTTGGGGGGTCCAGACAAGAGTCTCTGAGAATTGTGTTTTTTTTGTTTTGGTTTTCCTACTTTTTTATTTTTTTTCTTATGTGTTTTTGATCCTTTATGCATATTTATGAGTGTTTTTTAGTCGTGACTGTGGCACCAATGCATTTATCTAGCATTTACCAAAATTTTATGGAAAACTATGGAAAACTCAAACCCAGGCCCCATGGCCACCCCTTCTGTATATATATATACACATCACACTGCATCGCTATATAATACTTTGTATACACTCTACCTCAATCGCAAAACCCTCACACAACCCTCACTCTGAGCTGCCCAAGGCTGAGGGGAAAGGGTGACATCTGAAGGGATCTGGATCAGCAACAAAAACACAACCGCACCTGTTGACAGCTCCGCTCCAGCAAAGGCAAACACGCCTCCGGTGGCAAACACGGCACCACTCCAAACCGTTTCGATGCGCATCGCGCAGCGCAGGTTGCGGCGCATCTGACAGACCGAAGGCTCTGTCAGAGCGAAGCGATGGGGTTAGCCGTCACACCGTGAAGCTCAACACGACAGGTTCGGTGTCTGTTAATTGTGTGGACTTCATGTGAGGTCAAGGACCTGTGTGTGAGGTCAATTCGAGCATGTCTGAGGTGGCTGAATGAAAGGTTTGCCTAAAACATCCTGAAGTAACCAAGTGCTTCCCGAGCGGTTCAACTGAGTCGCTTTTCCTGCCCTTCGCCCCATTGGCTCTCCGTCCCGGCCCTACGAGCGATCCATCGGACCCATTGGCGTCTATAGGGCCCTGTCAAGGCGAAGGTCCAAAGAAATCCGACTTTCACCCCACTGGACCAAGGAGCGTCGGAGATCTCTACTTAGTGTAGGGGCTTCAAGATTGGTGACCCCTGCCATGGTCTCTTTTCGACCAGCATGGAGACCCATGCGAGAGTACCTTGGATGCCTTCAATCGTTTGTGATACCCCGCTTTTGATCCCACTAGGCACGTGAAAACTGCTCAGGTCCAGTGTGTTGTTCCACGGCAGCACTTTCACACCAAGCTGCAATCAAGTGCTCATCGTTAAGGTGGATCATGACCTGGCAACGTCTGCGCCAAAAGCAGGTGGATCCTGACTGAGGCGTAAAGAACATCTGGTGAACATGTGTCTGGCACTGTGTCTCGCTTATCTGGTCTGTGGCAAACCAAGGGACATGTGATGTGGTGGATGATCCAAAGTAGCCCGCTGGCTAAACAGATCAAGCCACAAAATTGTTCATGGTTCCGCCTGGACCAGCAGCAGCTCTTTCCTTCTGGACCAGCAGCAGTCCAACTGCACTCTCCAAATAATTGCGGTGTTGGTCCAACAAATACCGCACATTACACTCTGACTATCTCTGACTCACTAACATCAGAAATGGAATGAAATGAATGGCATGGCATGGTCCCTTGCAAGTACCTTTCTTTCCAAACAGTGGGGGGTGAGTTCTCCACCTTCCGTCCACACCGACCTCCCAGTCGAAATGCCATGAAAAACGCCACAGCCATCCGTCCTTCTCCACCTTCCGTCCATCACTCCAGATCCTTCGCCGCGTCGCGCCGCGTCGCGCCGCGTCGCGCCGCGTCGCGCCGCGTCGCCTCGAGGTCGTAGTCGTGCAAGTCCACGGTCCAGCCCATGGCTTCGGCCAGCGCCTCGCGAGTCGTCGGAGCTTCGGTCGGAGCTTCGGACACGGACCAGACACTTCGGACACCACAGCGGCACCGGACACTTCCAGAACCCCGGCCCACAGAAACATGGAGAAACCGTCACATGATGGAGCTTGGAGCTCCATGTCTGCTCGTTGTCTGAAACCCGTGTTGAATCGACTATGCGTGGAGCATCCTGTCTGGGTGTCCTGGCTGGATATCTCCAAGCAGTGGGCTGGGCAGTCCAGACAGGACACCCAGCCAAGACGGCCTGGTATAAGCTGAATGTCCCTTTTGTTACTAGTATAGCCAGACAGCTAGAAGCTACTAGCAACAAGGGCATCGCTACTCTCCTAGCATTACTACTATAAGGAACCAAGAAGCACCTCTCGTTTCTCACCGAACCGGATGTTCGATGTCCTGCGCCCGGCTTGAGAACTCAAACGCGAAAAGGGCATTCCCAGCAGCGTTACAACCCCCCCAAACGATCCCACGGACCATAGACCGTACGATTCTCATCTTAAAAAAGAAGGACCGAACCAGTGGGTTTCGACGTCCATCAATCAGAAAGGATTTGTTGGTGTACACTTTTTCACTGGGCATCCCTCGCTTTGACGGTCTCAACACTCTGACGCCCGGTGATGGGCCCCGGTCACGCCGGGGCGAACGCTCGCGCCGCCGGGCACCTCACCCACGAACTCGGCGATGCCGTTGGAACCTCGAAGCATGAAGCAAGAGAGCGTTTGCTCTACAATGCCATACTTCACCGGATTCGAAGCATCATTTTGGATTCAAGTATTAGCCTGAAATCCCGAAGAACCAGTTATACTCAGGATGTTACACAAACCATAGAAAAATGGCTCAACCCTTTTGAACATATACGTATACTTTGAAGGGAAAAGTGGGTCACCTGCCCCGGTAAAAAACATCTCTCCAAAAGCCGCTCAGCTCAGCCGCCATCAAATAATCGCCTGCTCTGGAAGCGGGTTCACCGTTGCGATGCGTGGTGTTTGGCGAAACTTCGTAGCTCTTTATTTGGAAAGAATTGCCCCTAGTAGCGTCCTTGTTCCTTGTAGTAAGGCCAGGAGCTACTAGTAGCGTCCTTGCTCCTAGTAGCGATGCCAGGAGCCCTTAGTAGCTTCTTGTTCCTATGATTGAACGACCTATCTAAATTTGTAAAAGTTCATATGCATAGTGCATTTTATCGATCTTGCAATGTGCTTTTTTCTGGGCTGCCGCTGTGCCGCATCAAGGCTGAACAAGCCAGCTAGTGCAGTGGCTGATTTCTTGCGTAGCTCGTGCAGTGAACTTTCCAGCCATTGTTTGTTCTTTGCATGACCTCCCTTGTGAATGTAAGGCCAGTGCTTGTGTTCAAAGCTTTGGAATTTGCTGCATCCTTCATTATTTTGCATCCTTCAAAGCAATGTGTCTGAGTCCTAAGGAGCCTAAACATCTTTGATTGAAAGGACTGTCAAGAGTTTTATATGAAATCAAGTCGGCTTGACGTGGTTTGCCGTTTGCCTGATGAAATCTGACAGCAAACTTGATTGTGAGATGTTAAGACTCGAGGTTGACTTTGATATCAGTTCACATCTTCGATGCGAGGACTCGTGAACTGTTCGTATCTTTATGTTGCGGAATAGTTCTTCATGCCAGACTAAGCAATTGAGATCTGAGATGTATGTTGACAGGTTTCCAGTATTAAAGCATGTAACAATGGCATTTAATAACTGATGCGGCTAAGGTAGATAGCTTTGCCCAGAAAGCACAGAAAAGAAGTGGTCAGCTTGTCAGCAATTCACCCTCAGACCACTGTCGACTGTGTTTATTCCACTATGACACTATATAAATATATATATAATACACCCTGGAAGACTAACGTGGACCGTGAAAACCACTGGTTAGTAGAGGAAAACACTCTTCCAGGGGGGCCATTGGGCCCGGGTCTATGTGAGTTGACTCGGGAGTGTATGTCCAAACACCAGACGTGCTTGGAAACGACTCTGAGCACAGCTTGCTGCGTCTTCCACGACTCGGTCGCCCAGCGACTCGGTCGAAGCCACCCTCCGACCGACCCGGGGGAGTGGACTGACCGGAGGAAGATCAGATCCAAGTGACCGAATGAAATGGACCAGTGGACCCTACAAATCAAAAACACCGAATGAGGTTGGGTTTCAGGTTCCGGATTGTACATGTAGCATTGATAGGATATCATTGTATCATCATGTCATCATCTGGCCGCGCCGCCGTGACGGCTTTTATGGCTCGCAACTGGAGCAACTCCGAGTCCAACGTTAAGAGCCCAGATCAGATCAGATCGTTCATGATCTTTCCCATGTCCCAAACACTTCAAATAGGAATAGAATCATATGTGCCCAGAAGCCCAGAAGTTAGCAAACAGCCCTTGGTCTGGTCGACCCTCCAAAGCATTCGGGACCAATCCCTCCAGAAGATTCGGGTCCGGCGCATCTATATAGATGGTACCAATTTAAGTCAAGATCGCACTGATTTGCTTCTTAGGGCATCGCTTACTATAGTAACAAATGCATTACTACTAGTAGCAAGAAGCTACGTGCGCACGTAGCTTCTGCACATGATGTTGGGTTTGGCGATGTTGGGCGATCCGTCAGGGCTCGGCGGATCCAGTGTGTCGTTCGACCCCCAACGGCGACCTCGCACACCGACGTGAGCGACGTTGGCCGAGCAGCTCAAATGCGCGGCCAGCTTCCCCGCGCGCTTCGCGGTGACGCGGAAGCTTTGCACGCCCTGCGAAGCGCGGCAGGGCCGGGGATTGGAAGCGGTGTGAAGGGACCGAAGACCGGAAGCGTTTCAAGTCCTTACTTTAGGGCCTAGGGATCCAGGCAAACCAGCTGATAAATCGGCAGGGTTCCACAGACTAAAACCACAGACCGAACGAAGTCCTCGTTCCTTACATAGTGATCATAGTGTAGCTGGAATCCTCTGGGCACTACACCGGAGCGAAGACCTTGACTTGTTCAGCTGCATGCTATCCCGCCCGCGATCCTGCTCCCCCCCAAGGCTAGGGGCCGTCTCGAGCTCAGTTGCTCATCAACCTCGTCAAAACTGGTGACTCCACCCCTCCGCAGACTTGGAGGAAACAAATGGACAGTAAGTCGCTGGTAAGTCGCTGTAAGTCCGGATGGCAAAGAATCGAAGCTTCCCGCATACAAGCTGCCGTCCCTTTCTTAGGCAAGCTGGCGGCCTCTTTCCACCCATCAGCACATGGAAAAGGATTCACTCATGTTGCGGAAAATCACCATCACATCACCATCACATCACCTCATATATCATGAACACCAGGTCTTCCATGGTCTTCCATGGTCGTTCCACTCGTGTCCGCCCTCTCCTCATGTCTCCCCGTCCGTCCCGCCTCTCGTCCAAAGCGCTGCCACGCACGCAGCGCGTCGGTCCAGGCACCGCGCGAGGCCACCTGCCGCGCCAGCTGCTCCTCAGCCGCCTGAGACAGCAGCGGAGAGATGGGGCACCAGGACGCGGAAGATCTTCCCGAAGACCGCCAACAGCTTTCAGATGCTTTCAGATTGGGTGGCGGATGTCTGTGATGGTGATGGTGTGGAGGCATCGTGGGGGGGGGGGTGAGGTGGAGGCATTTGGGTCCAAGAGTTCCGTTGTGATCAAAGTAGACCTTAGATGTCAAGCGTGCGCGCAAAACATAAGAGGCAACAGCAACTTCCAACACTTCGAAGCAGGTGATACCAGCTTCAAAATCGATTTCGCTGAGGCTTTATCATTGCAATGATGAAGCACAGTGGGCACAGGCAGATTCAGGTCAGGTTGACGATTCAACTGCTCGCCTTTGAAGAGGTGGTTCGCTAGATGGAATATAGTATATTCGTTCCATCGAACAATCTTGTATATACTCTGGAGGCTCCATGTTTGACCAAAGAGGTTCCATCGAAGAACACTATTTCCTTAGCACTTTTGAGGAATATCCAGTCTTCCATCTGGAATATGTGGAGATCACGTGTTTGATTTTTTTTCCAGAGCAAACAATCCTTGGATCCTCCATAGCGGGGGTCTGGACCCGAACCAAGCGCTTTCCGTTGGTTCGGGCCTGCAAAAACAATGAACTGTCGTTCGTTGGCAAATCAAGTTCAAGGGTTGCTAAGGATTGGTGGGCGACAAAGCTTGGCTGTCCATAGGTCCTTTGCTAAGGGCTTGAATAGGGCTTGACTTTTAGTGGGTCTAGTAAGAAATCCCTTCCAAACTTTGCCTAAGGAACCGGAAAACACACATCCCCAGAATGGGATGCACCCAGTTCGAGAAAACAACACATCATCCTACAGAAAACAACACATCATCCACCACAACGGGGTCCGTTTAAGACTCTAAGATGACTCAGACTCCCCCAAACTCGAACAACTCGTCCCCCCCAAACCTCGCTGCTGCTTCCGAACCCCCGTACGGGGGCCGCTCCGCTGCCTCCCGCTCGTCCGGCCACGGCGGCAGCTCCAAGGCGTTCTGCCGCAGCACCACGGCGTAGAGCTTCTCCGGTGAGCGGAGCCTAGCGGAGCCGGGTGGAGCGTGACCGGTGGAGGGTGACTGGTGTCGTGGCGTTCCAACGAGACGAACCACAACGGGAGAGAACGAGACAAGAGGAAGCAAGAGGTGTACGGTGTACTGGAGATCTGCATCCTCACTGTTGATGGTCACCTGAAAATAGCGAGGGACCAAGAAACTTCTATGTTGGAGACCTGTTGGAGGATGCTGGTAGATACTTGATTTAATGTATAGTGGTCTGGGGTCTGGGGTTGGAGGTTTTCCCAAAGGATCTGGACCCTTTAAACACCAAACACGATCTGTCTGAGACTGGCATATGAAAGCCTACATTGGGGTGTGGCTTCTGGGGTCAATGGGGGTGGCAAATATACCAGTCCCATGAAGTGTGTGGGAACACATCGAGTAGAGACAACAAATGGGGTGGCAAGGCTCGTCCCCAAACCCAGTGAGTGGATGAAAGGGAATGTCATGGCATTTTGGTGGTGCTGCTACAGATGTGGCAGACTAACTATGGAAATCTGACAATGGCACCGTGGTGGTTCTCCATGTTCCTCGATGTCCTCTATCAACTCACTACTTTTGAGACTCCATCGCTGCATCGCTGATCTTCGCACTCAGCGCTGTTTCTTTCACTTCTTCTCCAACTCAACGCTCTCAACGGGTGAGTGAAACATCCGATGTGTCGCCCTATGGAGCGTTGAGTTCATGTCCCTCCGGCCACCTGGTTTGGTCCTTCACACCACGGAGGGTGTTTCATGGCTCCACCCGCCGAGGACGGCGCTGCGATCCCGGTCCACCAGTCCTCGCTCCTGAAGAAGCGCTCGATGGGATGGATGCTTGCCGAGAAGAAGAATCGAGCCTTGCCGCGTCAGAGGTGAGCTTGGTCTGACTGATGCCGGAAGCGTAGACAGCTTCACGTTCTAGCTCAAACGTTGCAGTCTAGCCGCTTGAAAGTGCTTACTTTATACTTAAACATCTAAAGATCAATTTTCAACCCGTATACATCCCTATCAAGTAACTTCACGGTGACCCTTGGTGAGGGTGTTGACTCCTCCAGCCACGCTCGACACCACGTTCAACCGATCCCAACCCATCCGAGGGCGGACGGCGCTTCGAGGCGCTGAAGGCGCCTGTCCGAAGCGCTCGACGTGTTCCACGTCCAGCGTCGCTTGGAGCTCCTCCTGCACGAAGCGATGCATGGCCTCGGCACGGGCTTTTTGGTATGGTGAACATCAAGTATAGATGGTTTAATAAATCACCCTGTGAGCAGTGGAGATCGAAGACATTCGAATGTGTGCGAAAGCATTCAAAAACCATCGAAAATGGACAGTGGCGCTGAAAAGGTGGGGGTCCAGGTCAATGGAGTACAGAGAAAACTATACAGTACAGGAAACCACGGTTTTCACCCCCAAAACTATGGGGTTACTGTATGTAGTCACCCAGGATCCACCCGAATCAGAAGGTATGTGGATCTCCTTCACCAGGACCTTCCCCGTGGCCGAACTTTGGAGTGTCCGAACATTTTGTGCCCGCCCCTTTTACAGGCCTCTTACTGACCGATCTGTTCTTGGATTTCAATTTGATGGTTCAATGGTTCATCTCACCATCTTCATTTCAACTCCATCTGACCCTTTTGTCGCAGAACACCCTCCAGGCGCCCAGCAGGACCTCCTGGGCCAATGGTCAAGAGAAAGTCCTGAACGTTGTCAGTGCGACCAAACACTCAGCTAGTGCCCAAATGTGCCCTGGCCACAACTTGCTTTGTCTTGTACGTCTTGAGAGAAACCCACATGTTGCCCTGGGTAGAAGGGACATAAAAAAGATACATTCAGGACGGAATTCACCACCTGTCAAACTCCGAACCATCATGGGTTTGGGGTATGTTTTCAAGTTTTGATCCGTTTCCCTTCTTCCAGGGCTTCTCTTTCTGGGAAGTCTCCTGCCGCCCATCGTCCAGGTCATGCTCCATCGGCCGAAACCACGGGGTTGGAGAGACGCGAAACCACTTTTTGCAATGAGCAAAGTGATCCCTGTGAATAGTTCATGCAAAATGCTCTCTTATTCTGGGATACACCGGTGTAGGGCGCTTTGCTTGGACCAGCCTATCTGTCTGCGTCTGCGTCCTTTGAGGCAGATTGCACTTGATGCACTTTGCTTTGGGCAGTCAGGCAGTCCTTGATACCCCGGCGTACCCCGGTGGCAAGATTGAACCCTTAGCACTTCCGGGCAGCTCTCATGGAATCTCCCGTCATATATTAATGAAGAATCCGTTCTGATCCGCAGTCGCTTGTTGAGCTTCGTTGGTAGCAACACACACCTCCAGCTTGCTGGGGTGAATGGGGTGAGATGATGAGTTGAGTTGAGCAAGACAGTCTGGCATGTGAGAGTCCCGTCCCAACCTCGAGATGAAAGTGCTTTTTGGATCTTTTTGGTAACGTTGGGACTCCCAGGTCATGCACGATTCTCTTACTTCAACCGCCGCGAAGTAGGGCGTTGACCGTTCTTCTTTTGGTTAGAAGATGATCTGACGTGTTTTTTCGTTGGTGGGCAAAGGGATAGGGAGCGCTTGATCACCACTTCTTGATGTTTCTGTGTTGTTTGCACATTTGCAGTGCGTTATGCAAGGAGCTGTGATCCTTTCCCCATTCGTTTTTTGGGGTCTGCGATGCTACAGCACCTCATGTGGTCTTTGTTCTGTCATCCATGCTGCATGTGAAACATGGGTGGGCAAATTTCCGGAGACCCGTTTGAAGCGTTCCGACCGGAAGGTTCGGAACACTCGTCGACGCCAGGGTATGCCAGGGGTCTCCCGGAGTCTGACACACCCCAGCCCGAAGCTGAAGCACTCTGGGAGCCGCGAAAGCATGCGGGCGGCTTAAGGAGAGCAAAGGAGTCCCTAAGCTCTTCACGAGCCTGAACCAGTCACGGAGGTCCGGACGAATCCATGAGTGCTTTCGTTTCGGCGAAAGGAGTTCGAAGCACCAGCAAAAAGGAACCCGAATGTCGAATCTGGATGCATGAACCCCCACTTGGATTGTAAAACCTAAGATTCATTGAACAACTGAATGTGCTTGAACATGAAGGATTCACAAAATGCACCGAGGTTCCAACACTCCACATCTTTGTATATCACTGTGGCATCACCGATGTGGAACCTCGATCAGTGTGAACATTCCTGACCAAACACAGAAACCGTGGTGGACATCCTCTTCTCTAGCCTTGGATGGCGTGAACGTTCTCCGCGAGAACTCCTCATGGATGCTGTTGAAAACATGTTAGAACAAATTCCATCGATGGAAACCCTGCGAACCACACGGATTTGGCTCATCGATCCGGACGATTTCATGGCTACGAAGTCCCACAACGTCCAGCCCCTTTCCTCTCCGATGCTGGACAGTTGGGCCCAAACTGTCCGAAATCCGAGAACCATCGCCAGTCAACGCGTCATTACAAGTCTTGGAGAACTCCCCGGTCAAGTCATGATGGTTAGGGGATTTCGACCGTTCGGGAAAAAGCACGTCACTGATGTCTAAGCGGCGGACCTTTCAGATGTCGCTGAAATGTCATGCAGCAACTGAGGATCGCAAGACGTCTTCACCCCAGACGTGACTACCTATGGACCGCGCAGATGAGATGGACCCCGTGGTTTCGACCATGTTCCGAAGACGTCTTCCGGTCCATTTGTCCTCTGCACAGGGGAGAGGATCCCCCCCCGCCTTTTCTCTTCCCTTTTCTTCCTTCTCTCCAATTAAAATGAAAACCAAACAACAGGGAACGAACACCTCTGGCTGTGGGTGACCAGGCAGACCGACCGGGCACGACCTGGTGGACCGGGCACGTTCACTCGGCACGACCCGGCTTGCCAGGCACCTTTCGCGCTTGCGAAAGGTGGCCACAGGGTGCCACCGACTTCTCCAAGCATCTCCAACAGTTCCAGCATGGGAGTGAATCCGAATCCGTAGATGTCCCAACCATCGGCACCTAAACGCAACAACAAGAACGATGACTCACCGATGTCTCCAACCATGCCCGTGGTGGGTAACCATGCCTTTTCTTGCTGCACGCATGGCCGGTCCCTCTTGCGTCCCTCACTTTCCTCAGCCGCCTCAGCCCTCTTTGATGTGGAAGCTGGTGAACTGAGCCCTGGGCTGGTGCCACAAATCCCGGATGAATACTACGAGTTAACACATCGCCACATCCCAGACACGACCTGTTTGGGAATGATATCTATATATATATATACGATTATAATATGCCTACAAAACTATCCACCCCTTTTCAACCACCCCAATAGTATGCAAATATGGCAGTCCCAGACAGGTCGTGTCTGGGACACGTGAAGCTTGTTTCGACAGCTGTCACAGCTGAGAGGCGGAATCAGCGGAATCAGCGGAAGGGTACCTCCCATCCATCAGAGGCTTCGCAGCCCAAAAACCGTGGGCATCTTTCAGGAACCTGACCAGCTGACTGGTGCTTAGGTAGTGAGGGAATGACCACCCAACAGAGATTCCTTATTAGGGTCCATTCCCTCATTCCCTACTAAGCACCAGTCAGCCAGTGTGAGCCAGAGGATTAGCTCCTGATTCACATGAACGCCCAGTTTCTCTGGGGCATGTGGAGGTGGCAAGAGAGACGTGCGGCAGGAGGATGCATCCATGTACTTTCTCCTTCTGTCACTGTGCTTAAAACGAAAGTACCTCAAGACCTCTGACATGTCAATGTCTAGACTCCCGTACCAGAATGTTTTACTTTTTTTGATACCATGTTTGCTACCGCTCCAGGCCCAGGGGAAGTTCGCCATCATCCCATCGACGAAGACCCAGACGATTCACAGCCAGAGTCCAGACGAGTCTTTGTTTTTCTACGTCGGTCTCACTGATCAGGGTGTCTTCGTCTAAGATCTCCAAACACATCCGGAGACCCAAAAACACATACGTGATGTGGTGAGGGCAAGACGTGACGAGCTTCCCAAAACCGGTTGTTCAGGTTCCATGTGGTTCTCTTCCGCTCCCCTCCGCTCCGGGCTGCCCGGCTGCGCTCTCCGCTCCCCCACCGGGGAGTCGCCCGAGGCAGGCGAGTCCCGGGCGGGACGGGCGTCCGCGGAGCCGGGCGAGGAAGCAGGTGAGGAGGCCGCCCCGTCCTGCAGTGGCAGGTCAGGTGCGGGGTAGATGGACGAATGTGATGATCCTCTTTACTGCAATTGGAGCAAGCTTTTGCACTCTTGCATTGTATCGAGTTCACATTGGCTCTCAAGTCCCTTAAGACAGGTACTCCAGGAGTCACATGGAGGCCAGGGTGGTGTGGCTCGTCCCATCCGGATGTGCCGTTCGCGATACCCCGACATGGAATTTCTGGTGGTTCCGGAATGTTTGGGCTTGGGGTTGCCAACTGGCTTCAGGTCTTGGAAGGTTCTTTTTTATTTTTTTTGGCGGGTGGACCTTCATCACGTGACTGATGATGGAAACGATGTGTTGAAGATGGATGGGGTCAAAAACTGGGAAACGAGACTGAGAGAATTTCAGAGGAATTTATCGATGATGACATGTTCATTTTGTGGAAACCCAGTCCGAACCAGAAACAAATGGATGTTTCCCCAGTCACAACCAATTTCTATGTGAAGGAGTCCAAATTGAGTTTCTGGTTGTCATCTTGTTCCCTGGCAAAACGACCACATGAATCTGGCTGTCAGACTGGTGTCTAGCAGTCTAGCATTCTGGCTGCTGAGTGTGGGGTGGCCAAAGGGGGTCCATTTTCTGATCAAACAATTTGAGACATTGGGTATCATTGGGTCATTCAATGATGGACAACTCAATAGCAGTAGGTGTGGAGCAGCAGCACTTGGCGTCGTTCGTACGACGGCCCGCAAATCCAAAAGTTGTGTTGGTCCCTGACACAAGTACAAAGCATGCAGGTCTGACTGACTTTTTGCAATTGAACCCATACATTGCAGCTGATTGCTACGGATATCACGTATGTGCCCGAACAGTTCTGTGTTGCCATGGAAAGAGAAACGGACCAAACCAGTGTGTACGAGTGACCAGTGGAGAAGCGCGAGCCGCGAGCCCGAGTCTGACCATGTTGGGCAGTGAAGAGTGACCAGTGTATAAGTGTTTTACGAACACGTCTCTTATAACTCCAAAAACTAGGAACACCATGGAACAGCATGGAACACCAGCACTTCCACCTAAGCTTCTTCTGTAGACTTACCCACTTAAGCCCTTTTCTCCACACCACCCTGTCTGACACACCCCAGACGTGGCTTTGTTCGCCAATGACTGCCCTCCACACCACCCCAATGGGCTACTCCCTTCGTTTCGTCCGACTCAGTGGACGGCTCGGGCTCGACATGGGGAGGCGGCTCGGTCCGATATGGAGGCGTTTGCTGACCTAGAAGTCGCAGGTGGTGACCTGTTGGAGGGTTAGATGAAAACAACATGAAACAACCTCTGCATCTTTGGAGTTTGATGACTAAAAATGAAGTCTACATCATTATCATTCTACATCTAGCCCCAATCCTCTCCTATCATGATGACCTTCCTTCTCCCACTCCCACTTGAAAAGCCTCAGGGATCGGCGCCATTGCGCTGAACGGGGCGCCTTCCACGCCTCCGGCGGAGTGGCCGGAGGCTCCAGGTGGTTTGGCAGCGAATGTTGGTGAACAAAAAAGCACCAGATGGAGGATCCAGGTAGAGTTTTCGACTAGTTGTTGTTTGTGTTTGTGAGTTAAAGATATATAGTAATTATAGGGGAGGGTCAATGGGGGTCAATGGGGCGGGTCGCGGTTTTCGTGTCCTTTTCCGAAAATGACCAAAGGCCTTGATCTGGGCGGCCAGCAATTATCCCAAGCGGTGGGACACATGCGCCACAGCCACACAATGCCACTCCCATCCCAGTGCACCTGTAGGGGCCTGATGCACACCTCGGGCAGCCCGGGGAGATATATGTCATCCAACCTTCTGAGGATCTTTGCATAAATCTTATACTACACTAAGGATGGTGTATCAGTCACTTCTGGGTTGGGGAAAGAACCCTGGACGTCCAACCCCGCCGAACCTAGTGTGGACATCCATCAAGATTGAGGGACTCCGGCGGGGCTGGGGAAACCTTTAGTGGTCCCTGTGCGTCCTGGTCTTCGCTGGGAGAAGAACTCCCCGGCGACCCGAGTGGTCTCGCAACGTTCTGAGGATCTTTGCATCAAACTTAGACGATCTGTTCCGCTGGTGTTCTGTCCTGACGACTTCAACAGCGAAACAGAAAGAAACGACATGGTGACGACACGTGAAAACCAATGTCAACTGATTTGGCCGCGGATGTGCTGGACCGAAAAATGGATGCATGCATTCATCTCTCTAACCTCTTGTCTCATTCGGTACTTACAGGAGCCCCAGGTGGCTGTTTCTACAATATCTTTCCGAAAGCTGTGCATCGACGGCATGCGCGCCAGACATCTCCAAAGAATCATGGATACATGGAACATGACCTGTTTGTAGAGGAAAACCGTGTTCCTTTCGCGGCCATGCCGCCCACTTCAATGCAGGGTATGTTCCAAACCAAGCAAACTATGATCGACTGCAAGATGACGATGTCTGGAATGAAGATCCTGCACTAGCCAGTTCACTGATTCACCACTCTTCCACATGCATACATTCGCCGGTGTATATAGTTTTATACATAAATGATCATAAATGGAAGTCCAACGACCATGTTTTGACCGACTGAAGTAAAGGAACTTCCCTTTCAGGTCCCCTAAAGGACTATTCCTTTTATATATATAGTACTTGACTCGCTGTGTCACTGTGTATGTACAAATACTGTAACGTAAAGTGTATTTGTTTATGATGATATGTTGTTATATTGATAATTGTATGTACTGATATACTGATACCCCTTGTGTTATGCAAATATGTCTGTGCTTTTCTGCGCTTCTTTGGTATCTGCGGCGTCAGACCATCCAGGTCATGGAAAAAGGCCAGGTCATGGTAAAAGGCCATGCGCTCTCTTCGAACGCCAAGTCATTCCCCCTGCAAAGTCAGGAATGGGACCTGTGTCTTCACGCCCTGCAACTGCAGTCTGACCCAGATCCAGTCTCCTGGTCTCAAAAAACCATCCAAACGAGTAGTGTTATGTAGGTGTTGACTTGCATGACCGACTCCAGTCTTTCATCTTCGGTCAAGTTCCTGACCAAAGATGGGGCACGATGGGACGTGCGGTACATCAGTTCTCACGATGGGACGTGCTCCCCCCCGGCCGCAAGCTGCTCGAGCTGCTCACGGCCACCGGCTCCAGCTCTGCCCAGTGGCGTTCAGGCGGGAGTGGAGAAAGGCCAGCCTGTGGAGAGCGTTTCAACTGAGAGACTTCACGCTCCGACTCACCAACAAACAGAATTCTTTTTGGACATGGTCGATGCTCGGAAGACCAACCAAAACATGTCACATGATCCATGCCACTATTCTGAAAGAACACATTCTAAAACAGAGACTGCGTCACTAGAAATGATACCGTACCCTCTAATTTCTGAACGGAGATCACCTATAACCTATAGTCCTTGCTTTGTCCACGCGCGGGAGCCGATTCAATCATCGAATCCACGCTCTGAGGATGCTCGTCCCTGCCGCACTTGATCGTTGTATCCGAAGATCCCAACGGAGTGGTTCCTTAACATCTGGTGCCATCTCCTACTCTTCCCAACCCAAAACGTCGATGGAGACTTCCAAAAAATTCCAAACCCCTACATCTCCCACGTCACCCTGCAGAAATCACATGAACCTCCACGCACTAGGAGGCACCTCCTGCCCGTGCCTCCTGCCACGCGCTTTCGCTCGACTGGACTGGACTTGGATTCTTCTTCCCCCCCGGTGGCCGATGGGCCTGGGACGCCACGCAGCGGTTACAGGCATCGAAGTTGCACAGCTCACCTCGCACGACCGGTCGTCACGTGACCGGTCCGTTCGGAACCGACACGGGGAAGCTCCGGAAGATCGCTGTTGAGGTGTGTTTAGACCGAGTCCAGTGAATTCAAGACGGCTTCGAATCAAATCAGAGGTGTTGCTCTGTATCCAGTCAATCCAGTCACTGAAATTCAGCCACTTTCAATAGCCAACCTGGGCCCCGGTATCACCAGGGACCGCTTCAGAAAGTGCATGCGCGTCAACCGCCCAAAACCAAGTAATTAAGGCTCTGGGTGTCTCTCTGGGATGGAGAGTGACCTTCGCATCCGTCTTCGCCCCGCATCGCCCCGCATCGCCCCGCATCGCCGGCCAAGGTACATCTCATCATCATGCTACCTGACCGTAAGGGCCGAACGGGGGACCACCACGAAGCATTCCAGAGGCTGGGCAAGGCCATTTCTTCAGAACAAACTGGTGGATTCCATGTTCACCCTGGAGAAGACTTACCAGAAGGATGCTCATAGTGTCGAATTGTGTATGAGCAAACTCCATGCACCTTCCAGAGTTGATGGAAGAGTTCGAGCGAACCCCCCCCGAGCGTGACAGACTCGGGTTTTTCACATGCTCCTTGCAGAAGCTTCTTGACCGCACATCAGTCCAAATCCATGCCTGCAAATCCAGTCCAAAGACCCAAAGCTGGTGCTGAAAACGCATTTTTCGATGACCAACTGACCCAGGGAGTGCTGCCTGGATTCCCAGCTCCATCTACCAGAATCTACCGAGGTGGAACGTCCAGTCAGGGAGACCATGCCGATTGACCAAGTCAGTCTCTGATTGACCAGTCAAAATTTGGAGGACCACACCTAAATCTTCCAACTGTGCAGAATTTCGGCCTTGTCATCAACAAAAGCAGCCGAAAGGCAAACATGTTGCACAGTTGGAAGATCTATATAGGTCCGTAAGTAGGTCAAAAAGCAGGGTTTCCTACCTGCGAGAGCAAGCTACATGGTCGACCAGGGCTCCAAGTTTTGACTCCATATACCCGTATCTGTCTACCAGTCTATAGGCCAAATTCAGTCCTTTGTGAAGTGTGCCGGCAGAAGAGTCTGATCAAGTGTCCAGTGTCATGTATTCGATTTGGGATCAGAACCTGTTCTTTTCTTCCGTCGGGAATGTGGAGATCGTTGCCCCTCCAGGCCTCTGGCATGAAGAATGCTGCAAACCTGGCAGGTGATGCCATCCTGAGCGTTAACCAGCTGACCACCAGGTCCGTCTCCAGGTCGTACCAGGTCCGTCTCCAGATGTCTAGACACGACAAGCGTACGAGTACGCGACCTCCACTGGGGGGAATGCAAACCTACGTACGTCCAGTCTAACCCAGCCAAAACCTGGTCGAACGAACGTGCTTTGGTATGACACTGGATGTCCAGAAACGATCTCTGCACTGCTTGCTAGCTTGAAATTACTTGAAATCACACCCTACACACGTCCAGTCTGACCTCACGGTCCAGTCGCCTGGTCTTTCATGACCATCCATGGATGGAAAAGTTGCATGCTTTCACCCCTTTTATGACCCCAATATGGGTAACTATTCCAGTCCCATTCGTCTGGTCTGAGTTCACTTACGTCTTCCTCACCATCAACTGGGCCCGATCCAATCTCCCCAGATCTCCGGGAACCCTGGCAGTGCCCGTGGTCACAGACTGCACTGGATGTCCAGCCGGACACGACTGCGGGCGGCATGACGGACCAGACGAGTGGACACTGCCGGACCGGCTGAAGGTGCTGAAGGTTCACCATTGATCACTCGAATGTGGGGAGTGTATAGTATAGTGTCTATGGCAGTTGTATGCAAGACTCCTGACTTGTTTGACACTTCATGGAACCAGCATATCCCGGATGTACACCGCATAATACTACTTTCATCGGTTCTCGTAGCCATCTTGGTGCCCCCATGATGGTACAACGTCACATTCAACATGGCGTCGTTGCCCTCGATTTCAAGTGCTCGGCTCGAAGCCTCGAGCGGAGCCTTTGCTGTCTCTGATGTACCTGTCTTGCATCGATTTCCGAGGTGGGACACCCGAAAGCCTGGCCGTCTGGGCTCGAATGCTCGAGTTCAAATGCCGCCGCGGGTGCCGGGACCTTGGTTGACTACGCAACAATGATCCCAAGCAGTTTCACACACCTTGCCTTCCGGGGCGGCGAAGAAGGTGGCACAGGCATGGCCTCAGGGGCCATGCTAAAACCAGAAGGCCTGACATGATGCCTAACTTAATACAATCATATACAATCAACGGATCTATAGAAAAAGAACAGATTCGAGAAGCAGCTCTCTACAGAGGTGTCCTAGCATCTCCCTACCCGTCCTATCTGCAAGCCCGTCCTTCAGTTTTCACACTCACAACCAAGATGGGCACCTGTGAAGCCGCAGAAGGCCCCTCAACCTGCAGCCAGTCTACGAACTCCGAGTGGTTGGGTTGTGCTCGGGAGCCTGAGAATGAGCATGAATGAACACCCTTACAGTGAATGAACATGAATGGTCACGAAGTGACTGACATTGAAAGACATTGAAACTAAAAACGAGTAGCGTTTGGTCACAGAAAAAAAAGAAACGCTACTCGTCTGGAGGTCAAAACGAAGCTCCTGGGACCTGGAGCTGCGCCTGCATGGGCCGGGTCTCCACCAACGGTGAGGTCGGAAACGCCAAAGAGCTTGCCGGTGATGCAGGAGGCGCCTCGACTCTGGCTTCGATGTGTTCCGCAACGGCGATGGAAGGCACTGGCGATGGAGTCGTTTGCCCCCAATTCGTGGCTGAGTGGAGTCGAACTGCTGGGGCTCCGACTTATATAAGCACCCTATCGAAGGCGGTATCTTATTTAGAATTAGGGAATTTATATCATCAGTAGAACGAAAGGGTCGGATAGGACCAGGTGAACAAAACCAGCAAAGCACATTGCACCACATGTCATTCTTGCGATCGAGACTCTACAACACGTTGTTTCTCGTGTATGTCGACGGGTGTTCCAGTCTAGTCTAGCTGTATATCTGTGCGAGACATAGGACAAACACGAACAGCTCGACCTCCTTGTTTTTCCCGGTGAATCAGTTCCGAATGGAGCCTGCAGGTCGGACTGGTCCAATGAGAGGATGATGTGGACACTTTTATATAGGCTTGGAGGAAATCTCAAGGGCTTCCTTCGCACCTTGGCCTAAGGAAGACTGGCGCCCGAGGGAAGGAATCACGAGGGGCCTTCATGTCCCAGCCATCACATGGCCGGAATCCAATTCATGGCCGGGATGAACAACTTCCAAGGGTCCGTATCTCCTTTCCTGCTTCCCTCACACTTTGGACGGAATGTTTGCTGCCCCCTTTGCCCAAAGCAGAACTCCAGCACCAAATGATGTCGGACCAACAATCTCGAATCTCTCGAAACATCACACTGACACTAACGGCATAGTGTTCCCCAAAAGTGGGGAATCAAGGGTGGCCTCCCCTCCGATTGGAAGGAAGGTTGGCACCTCACCCCATGCCTCGCCTGGTCTGGAGCTTTGGAGAGCAAGGCCTGAAACGTTGAAAAGGTGGGGTGGGTCAGTTGGAGCCATCCCTGCCGCAACCTGGGATCTTCCAACATGTCCAGTCTAGTAGTCTCTTCTTCACTTAACCCAGCATCCTGCTCTCTCAAGCTCAAGTCGACCAAACGATAAAGAACCTTTCTCTCAACGTGGCGGACTGTGCGCGGTTGAGGTGATGAAGGAGAAGGCCAGGCTTGGTGGGCTTGGTCGACTATGGCTCCTTTTCCACGACCATGAAAACCAAATGGACAGTCTCTGACCATCTCCACATTTCACATTTCCAGCTGGATGTGTCGTTCTTCTCCATCTACATGTCATCGGGGAGTCATCGGCTGTCAGGAAACACGTCACAAGATGTCACAAGTATGTCTGGCCAATGCACACGGTCATGTCCGGCAGATAGAAGGTTACCAGGTTGAAGCAGGGTGAAACCACATCAGTGACGGAAGGATGTCTTGACTTGCAGGGGTGATGGGCTCGATTTCACACCTCAAATCAACTTGCTGCCCGTACATGACCAGCAAACATCAGCAAACACATGTCCTGCCTGAAAAAGAGAGTCGCCTGAACCTCTTGATCTCTTTATCTTTATCTCATCAAGATAACACCAACTGATCGGTGGGAGGCATACCAGTTGTGAAGTTATCTCAAAAAGAATTGCAGGAAACATCAGAATCAACCAATCTGCCAAAACTGTGGATGCTCCCTGACAGTCATAAAATGCCATGTCACTACAATTACACGATCTGTTGATTCATCAAACCTCCGGTCCGGTCTGGACCAGGCCGCGAGCAGGTTCTATCCTGGACCATCCATGATGAAGTAGTTACATACATTGGGGTCATGTTCATGGGGTAAATGATGGTCAAATGCTGGTAAAATGTATATCTATGACTACAGTAACTCTTCCAGTCCCCTGGACTCTGTCTGGGTATCAACCGTCCACCTTTTTGAACGCCGAAACGGCTCCAACTGCTGCCACCGATCTGCCTCCAACTGCTGCCACCGAGCACCTAAGAGACTCACCTGCAAAACAACTGGAGGTCGGTTGGAGGTGTTGAAAACCAGTTGGAGGTGTTTTCGATCAGGTTTTGAGGTCTTTCACCAATCACTCTTGACTGATGCCAGGTGTTGTGCCCGGGAACAAACATCCAGCTTGCGGGGAAAACCAGGGAAGCCTGGTGCCATGATCCATGATCCTCTGGTATCCTGAGGGAATGAGGTGAACGAGCGAGCAGAAGAGCCACGAACCAAGAAGAAACCCGGATCAACCCGGATCAATGGTTTCTTGGCTGTGTGGTTTCTGAGACGGAAACCCAGGAGACGGAGAGAAATTTGGAGCTCAGATGGGAAACCCAAAAACATCGAAAAGCAGGTGGTAGGTGGCTTGTTTCTGAGACGATATGGACAATCAATAAGTATATATGCAAAGAGAGAGAGAGAGAGAGAGATAGAGAAAAAAAAGAAAAGAGATTGTAAGATCGAGGTGAAGCTCATTGTGGAACTGCTTTTTGCAGGCGAAACACATCTGGCCACTTCAAAGGGTTTCTGTCAAACAAACCACCTGTTGCAAAATCATCCAAGAAAAGATCGATCGTCTCTGTCTCTACCTGCTTCTCGTTGCCCCTCTTTTTTTTCTCACCACGTCTGTCAGTCTCTCTCCGTCAGTCGACACCTGTAACACCAGCTCCCTGGAGTCACAGTTTGATACAGTTCGTCAAATGGCACAGTCGGTGTCCATGGACCGTTTTCATGGACCTTTTTTGTTGGGTCATCGTTCCATATGTTCTTTTACTATGGGGGTCAGTCGGTGTCCAGGTCACTCCACACATAAGCGCCAAAAGCGGAACACCCGCCGTCTCCCGCCGTCTCGCTTCGCCGTATCGCTAAAAGCGTCCCGCTAAAAGCGTCCCGCGGCGCCTGGTGTCGGAGGTCTCGAAGGTCCTTCAACAGCAGAAGGCTTGGATCAGTCGACTCCTGGCGCGATCGACTCGGTCGACGACTCTCTTGGTCGAACTGAGTCGACTGGTCGAGTTGTGATTGAGTCGAGTTGTGATTGAGTCGAGGAGGCCCCGAGGTGTTAGGGTTCCTGTCCATCACATGTTATTTCAATTGGTGACCTGTTGGAGGGTGCTGGAGGGTGTTGCAGGCTTTTTCTGCATGCAGAGCGGCTGGTATGTAATTAGAGGTCTCGAGTTGTGTGCTACAATCATGGGGCTGTCTTCTATTTGTTCACTGATCTGGCAATCATGAGAGAGTGATTGTGAACATGCATGGATATAATTACGTATCAAACACCTACAGTATGCCAAGATCACCACTGGTCTCTGATTCAGAATCCTCCGCCCAATTTCCGTCTTCGCTGGTCAGACCGGTGGCGGGCTCACAGAGCATCTACCAGTCGACCCATTCGTACCTCCCTTTGTATGCGTACGTAGACGTCATGACCGTCCCTGTACCAGGTCCCCCGCTGTAAGGGGTGATAGCCCCTTTTGGGGGTGTCGGACGGGGTGGTCCATTCACCACCCCAACCAGACCGTGGGTCCTAGTATAGATCGTGATAGATGTTGATAACATGCGTTTCTACCGGATTCCAAAGCCGGTCCGACCCCCGAGGAGCCCGGTGATGACGGAACCCGGTCATGAAGTGCCACTGGTGGTTCTTTGAGTGGGGTGTTCACCAATCCAAAGAATGGTCCATCACCAATCCACAAAGAAAACACGGTTTGGCATAGGGTTTAGTATTTGAGGGTTTATAGAACTTGCATAATGCTTGTCCAAGTTGGACTTCACATCACTTCACTATATGACTTCAACGTCGTTTCACCCGGTTTCACCTCCAACCGTCGTCCTCGCAACGCCCGGCGTGGACGCCCGGCGTGGTCATGACCGCCGTGACCGCCACGCCCGAACGCCTTCCAGCCTTTGATTTTGGGGCCTTCCGAAGCAAACCACCTTTTGAGGCATCGACGACAGGGATGAGGAGTCGACCGAGGAGTCGGATGAGATGGGTTTGAGGATGGCAGGTGTTCGTTGCTTGGGTTGCTTGAGGATGGGGAGGGGAGGAGGAATGGGGAATCCTCCATACATCTGCGGGGAGAAGTATATTGATAGGGGGACAGTTGGGGAAAGGAAATACATGTGCCGGTGGCTGGGCACACTTTCGTGTTGCCTGAGTTGCTTGAGTCAAAATTTTGAAGACCAGAAAGCTGGAGGAGGGCAAGTCTGGACTGAAGCCTCATCTCAATCTTAAGATGAAACATCCAGCAGTCACATAGCTCGGGGTGCTATCCATGGAGGTAGTCGGGGTGCCCCTGTCACATCCACTCACTGGATGGGACGAGCCACACCACCCTGGCCTCCATGTGACTGCTGGATTATGGAACTGCACTCACGCTGTATCTCCAAGTGACTGTCCGATGTTAAGGACACTCAGCTGCTTGACACGAGTAGCTCCAGCTGCTTGGCAAAGCGGCTAGCGGCACTTGTAAAGGGGTTGCGTTTTTGGGGACAGCCGACCTGAGAAGCGAGTCAATCATCCGGATCCCTTTTCCATCACCTGGTCCATGCAGTCTCTGAACCCATCTCTTTCCCAGTCCTACAAAACTCTGCGGTCCCGCGTTTTGATCTTCGATCCGTAACTGTTCAGAACTGGGGCTCTCCAACGCTCCAACTGTGACACCATTTAAAGCGACCCCGTTTTCTTCCAGTGCCCCGGCAGATCCCGGTGGGGAAAAGAGATCACGGGATGAACAAAATGTGATTTGTTCATCTCAGAGAGTTGTACAGTCCTGGACCTTAAAAAAACAGTGGTACATGTGGTTATTGTAAACGCTGAGAATGAGTTCCTTAATATGTTTGGGGCTACTTGCAGTCAGCTCTGGTTGGACAATTACTCCACAACATTCAACTCATTCCCTCCACGGACTCCCAAAAAATCACCGAAGGGACGGCATCCTCGTCCCAATTGCGCAGCGGAACGCGCACGTCGCTGATGTTCCCAAAATCGATGGCTCACCGACGGATCGACGGCTCACCGAAGAATCTGAGCAACCAAAAACACGTCCTGTATTAGGGTGAAGGTGCCAGGATCGACGACGGCGTCACGAAAAGTGAGATGATACGTTTGCCGGAAACAAATCAGGGTGCTATCCATGGAGGTTGGAGGTTAGGGCGGTTAGGAGTGCCCCTGTCACATCCACTCACTGGATGAAACTAAAAACCGCCCCCCAACATGTGACTCTTGGTACTGTCTTCGTTGTGTTTCTCCCCTTTGCATCTCAGTTTTATCGGCTTTGGGATTGGGCGAATGGCTGGCGAACCGCAGCTGCACTTCATCGATCTTCATGGATCGACGAAGATCGTCCCAGCGGCTGGTTGATGACCAAAGCATGGTCCTCAGAGTCCTTCAAGTGCTCCTGAGCTGAGACATCTGGACACAGCAGTGGACAGCGGTGGTCCCAAACACATGGCTATACCCTGCGGATCCCTGCGGCAAAGAAAACAACAAAAACTCAGAAAAGGTCAACTTGTGAGACTTGTGAGATTAATGGCTTTGGAATGCTTTGGACCATTTTGAGGAGGCCAGTATGCTTCGTAAATCTTTGTATCCCAGACACTCCATGGGACTGCCATATATGCCGCCCCATTGACCCCTCTGGCACCACCCCAACTGATCGGCATATATGGCAGTCCCATGGAGTGTCTGGGTATGTTTCTGGAACGAACACCTCCCACGCTGGACTTCCTTGGACTTCGGGGGCAGGTGCCGCCCAACACCATGCCTCGAACATGCTGAGCTGGAACGGCACACCATGCCCCAACGTGCTTGCTCTTAGTGTCATATTTAGATACACCTATTCCATCCTGTTCCCATAGGGTGCAGGTAGCAGCCAAAGGATGCTGTTGGAGGTGAAAGTACTTAGAGTACGTATCTTACAGATTGAGTTGAGGAGCCAGTTCATTTGCCCTACTTCGCTCCGCATGCGTTCGGAGTGGAATGGCGCCCGCCTTGGCCGCCATCACACCCACTCCATCAACAACCAGCCACACCAAGAAACAGAAAGCCAGAGATGGCTTCAAACGGCACTTTCCACCGACTGTTCATTTGGAGTGGAGGGGTCCCCCCCTTCATCCCCTTGTCCACGCTGCTGGCCGCTCGGATGGTCCCGGCCACAAAAAGGCCACCCGTTGCTTCGTCTGAGCCTCCGGACCGTCAAAGCTGAAAGGCTTGGCGAGAGCTTTCGGGCCTGGTGCGAACAACAGACTCGCTCACCCAACAGCGAGCACGACGAACGCAGCCACGAAACGCAGTGCGAACACGCACGGAACCCGTTTTCTGAACGTGCTGAACGTGCGGCAGCGTCGTTTTCTGATTCAGCGAATGGAAAACAAGAAAGGTGTGATTTTATGCTTGGCAAAAAAAAAAAACCGTGTTGTGCGAACCGAAGAGTGCCACACAGAGTTGTTTTGTTTTGTTTTGGACCTCCGTAAGAATCCGGGCCCGAAGCAATCGGAAGGGAACTCTGAGGGGTACGGACCTCTGCGTAACCCCATGGAGAGTGTAAGGATTCTTGGGGAAGGGTTTTGTGACTTGTTAGTGACTTGTTGGTGACCCTGGACCCGACTTCAAGATACTTCAAGTACCTGACCAAATGCGACACGACCGGAACAACAAACAGGTATACTATACTTGGTGGTGCTTGTACTGGTCGACTTCAAGACTAGAGGGATCCACTGCCATCCTCTGCCGGTGATGTGTAGGTTCCACGAACGATGGAGGCGACGAATTGGGTCCAGGACGGAATGGTTTTTGCGTGGCAGACCACTGAGAAAAGTTGCGCCAAATGGGCCACGAGACGTGCAGAACCATCCACCCGAAAGCCGCGCCATGCCATGCCACTTCAAAGAACCACCCACCTTGCCGCATGCTGTATACAAAGAATCGCATGAAGGATTGAGCACAGAAATCTGAGCACCGTTAGATGATGTTCCAAGCCCAGCAGGAGAAAAAAAGGACGTGCGGTGTCCCTGCATCGTAGCAGCTGACGCGCATGTGCAGAACTCAGAACGACGCAGCACCTCTGAGTGGCGTTTTTTTGTAATGTAGACTCTTGATTAATAAACCCCCCATATATGAAGAGGTGTTTCAATTCAATCGGAAGGGTTTACTATGGCGTATTAATTAGGGTGGATGGGAGCTACATTAATTAGGGTGGATGAGTATATCATCAAACGAATCAGAGCTCAGGCTCACCAGTGACGCAGCCTTGGGCCTTCGTCAACATTTCGTCCACCAACCTCGGCGAACCACCACCGCCTAGACGTCTTAAACCTCGCTGCTCGCCGCCTTCGTCAACCTGTTACCGGTGGCGGGTGTCCGCCGCCGCCCCGGACGGCGAGCCAGCGGATCGAGGCCTCCTCCTTCAACCGAAGTAATCCCTCAGAGCGAGCCGCCTCAAGGCCGAAAAGGCGAGCGGACACGGATCAGGGCCCGGTCCGGGCGGAAATCACGACATGTCAGTGAAAAGATGACTGTAGGTTTTGGACTGTGTGAACCTCATGATCATCATGAACAGGTATATAGTTATAGTCATAAAAGGTTGCTCTTTTCTGCCTTGCCGAACACTTCAGTGGATGGGGCGTTTGGCTTCCTGGATGGCTCCTTCCATTTTACGGCCGAACCCGTGGCAAGCGCCGTTTTCGTGGGGGAAGGGGGTACACGGACCCCGCTCTAGCGCTGGAAAGCCGCAGCATGTCCGACCTGGTCAACACCTCTCTCCTAAAACGCATTTGCTCCGTTCGTAGCGATGCCCTTTGTTCCGTTCGTAGCGTCCTCTTGCTGCTACTTAGTAGTCATGCCAGGAGCGCCCCGTTCGTAATGCCATTTGCTCCTAGAATCGATTTAAGGGAAACATCTACAGGAAACCCAACCCATACACTTTTTGGGGTGACCTGTAGATGTTCCATGATGTTTCCCCTCATTCTGGGGTGACCTGAAGGATCGTTTGAACTCCAGATGCTTCAACCGATCCGTGGGTCAACCGAACGAACTCCACCTGTTCTTGCTGGAGGACGGGCGTCCGCCAAGCCCCAGAAAAAGGAGGTTTCGGGCTATCAACTCTTTTTTGGCAGGTAGGTGAAGGGTATCGATCTCAACCATTTCCCAAGATGCATCCTGAAGGTTGCACCTGAACGATCCTGAGCGTATATATAGTTTTTTTCACGGGGCGTGGAGCTTCAGCTGATTTCAATTGTCTGATGCAGGCGAAGAAGTCGTTTGCGTGATTCGGTGGAGAAAGAAAAACAACATCCTTATTGAACATTGATGTAACAAATTCAGTTGTTGACCTTTGACATGCAAAGGATAAAACAACTGAATACTGCTCAAGCAACACTTGACCACTTGATCCTCACACTACCCACATCACCATGCTGGGCTTTCAACGCGCTCGCGTTCATTCACCACCGCCCGCTGCAGAGAGGCCAAGTGGTTTTGCAAAGCCTCGCAGGTTGGGGTGTCTTCCTCGATCAGAACGTCCGGAATTCTCAAATCAGTCAAATCTACAAACTATAAACACCTCTTGCCCATGCAAGGAGATGAAAAAAAAAAATAGAATAAACAGGAACATGCACAAAATATCACCCGATCCGAGCAAAAGCGGGCAAAGTGAATGTTCTTTATCAGTGACCCCACATCCCTTGGTTGATGGTCTCCCAAACAAAGACACACCCCCGGTTCTGGGGAACTTTCTTCAACTTTTAATTGCTGGTTTCAGAATCCGTGACCCCTGCCCCCGGACCTTGAATTCTGGAGTTTGTGGTCACTCTCTCTCCATTTCGGAGGTGACTCAGATGAGCCAGGGATCCATGCGGTGGTATTTCGTCTGTGACAGCGGCACCCTCTTCACGCTCCAATAAGCACTCCGACATGGACTGGTAGTCTGATATAACTGATATAGACCGGTCTATGGTAGGTGCAACCCTGGTTTTCGAGGGTGTTGGTGTGAGTGTTTACCAGCAAGGAGAGTGGAGAAAGACTTGTTTAACATCAAAAATCCTGTCACCTGGTGCGTCTACGACAGTCCAAAAACCTGTCAGGTCCTTAGCTCAACGCCTCCATCTGCCGCGCTTTGTTCGCCAGGTCGGCCCTCAGGTGTTTCAGCTCGACTAGATTGGGGATGGGCAGGTCTCCCGGGCTCCCAGTGTGGACGGCGAGTTCTTGGTTAGGCCGAAGATGGAGGGTCCATCTAGTTCACAATCCGGAATGGCTTTGGCTCACCCCATCCGGGACTCAGTGGGTGTGTGACAGAGGCCAGCCCGACAGCAGTCAGACCAGTCCGGTCGGGAAGGCACCTAACTCCATAGAACTGCTGCTATAGGAAGGCTTACATGTAACAATTCAATGTACACCGTATACTGTATATGTATATACTCTCGATGATATTTCAACCCCCTAACCCTGAAGAGGTTGGCCACATGGCTTTTCAGGTTTCGTTCTGTTCATCCACAGTCCACATCGAAACATCATTCATCTCTTGCGCCTCCTGGGCCCCCTGGCTGCTGCTCCCAACTCGCTGGCTCCAAAGCATCCAACGAAGGCATGACAATGGGCGCGGGCATGGGAAGGCCCTGTCGAAGTCAGCGGCGGGCGAAGTCGGGCGAAGCCGGGCCCGACTTCGGTATATCGGTATGGTGCCACGGTCGTTGGACTACTTTAAACTCGAAACAGTTCAAAAGACAAACACATGAACGATAATGATGATCCATGATTGTCTAATAAACAAAAATCATGCACCAGCCTGCGGTGGTTGAAGCCACATCGAAGGGGGCGCGGCCTCAGTGTCGGGCCGGCGGTTTTGAGGTCTCCAAGGTCTCCGTCTGGTCCTGCAGGTGATTCACTGATCTGACTGGGTACCTGGATTATCCCTTCTGGGTGTCCTGGTTGGAGGTCCAGTATGGTCCAGTCTAGCAGTGCTGGGGTCTACAGTCTAGCCAGGACACCCAGACAGATTGACACGGGTACTCAAAGGTTTTGAAACACAGCTGGACACTGACTCTGGGTCCTTGACGGCCTTGCTATGGATTTCCAGGTTGAATTGAACCCTCGGATATATAGAGAGAGATGGAGGATGCTTCACCATGCAACCGATGAGGGAGGCTTATTCATCAACTCAGTAGGCCATACACTCCATGTACGGAACATGTGCCGCCCCATTGACCCGTTTTCAACCACCCCAACTGAGATGCAATTATGGCGGTCCCAAACAGGTCGTGTCTCGGTCCAGAAAAAGCGTCTTCCCTTCGATTTCCAACGAAGCAGTCACTTCCCAAAAGTCCCATCTTCATCCCGTGGTGAAAACTCCAACACCCGGCCCCAGCGGGACGAGTGTACGAAAAAAGACGCCGCTGGATGAAGAAACACAGCTTCTATGCCGGAACCCATGTGGCCGGTGTAAAGTCTGACCGGTCGGTCCAGTCTGGTCTTGAAAACTTCCAAAGGAGCCGTGGGGACATTCATGACTCTGTATGACCAACTCCAGGGCGGTCAAGACCTCTACAGACATTGGGGTGGAAGTAAACCCCACTGAGCTCTCGGGCATAGGGCGAAAAGCCTGGCGACCAAGAACAAGACCCGATCATTGGCCCTCCCAGCCCCAGCCGCGCGGGGTAACTCGGGCACCAGTGGGACAGCAAGACTGGGAGCAATCTTCCGTGTTCTCATCCTCTGCTTGAAGCAAGCCTCAAGGGAAAAACCTGAATGACCGGTGAAAGTGAACACGCGGCCTGAATCTATCACTATCAGCATCGATGGCTTTCTTGATGGAACATTGCTCTTCTTTGGTCATCGGTGCAACCCCTTTTGAAATGAAGCAATGAGAATTTGAAGGAGATGAAGAGGCACCGGGCGCAAGGCTATGGGCCTCCCGCAGAGGTGCCTTCACTTGGTTTCTGTATTGGAGGAACATCAAAACATCTGTGTGGGGTGAATTCTGGTGTTCATGCTTGAGTCTTGGAATTGAAAGTAGTGGTGTGAGGGGTTGTTGAGAAGAAATGTAAAACAAAACTGGAACTGGGACAAATCCGTTTCAGAGAAGACAAAAAGACTAAGACCAATGTTTGCTGATTTCAACTTCTCCGGCAGTGTCAGTTGTCCCCAAAAGTTCAATGAATTGCCTACAAAAGGAGTTTCCTGTACTGATGGGGTGAAAAGGACCTTTGACAACGCCTCTCTTTGGTCAAGGGAACGCAGTCAGTCAGTCGCTCGAGGTTCAGAACAGTCAGCCGCCCAATCCGCCAAAAACGATGCCTTCAGCATGTGCATTCAACCTAGAAGTCCAGTTCGGTTTTGACCCACTGAAGTAAATATATTCATATATATAGTCCATTTCAGGTACGTGAAGACCATTCTACTATATTCTTTGACTCCCAGGTGCATAATCCGAAATTGTGTGTGACGATTCCACCAGCCTCACTCAGATCGGTAAAAACCCTCGCGCCTGGCGCTACCGCTCTGTCGACTGGGGCTGGGCTGCCTGCGCAGAAGGGAAGAAGGTCAGGGTGACAAAGGACACCTCAACGGTCCATGTGCTTGGCTTTTTGGAGGATGACAAGCAAACAAATCGCCCAACCAACACTTACACAATGTTACACATGTTTTTTGGTTGCCAAAGCAATCAATGGCGCAAGACACTCAGCTTTTTGCCGCGCCGCATAGGCAACAAACATGCTCACAAACGCCCCACTCACGTCCGGCCCTGCCTATGGAGGGTGCTGGCATCATCGACAGGTCAGCTGACCAAGTCCATGTCTGATTGATATTGCGTTGAGAAGCTGACTGATATGGCTTGAAGAAGGACCTGTCGATGATATTTCACATTCCTGACTGATGATGGCTTTGACAAGAGTATCACAGGAACAAGGCTGGTTGCATGCATGTGCTTGACGAATACTAAGTGATAAAACGACCTCAACAATTTGATTGAGCGTGTTTGATTGACTCTGTTGCAAGGTTGCATTGCACACGATTCCCCCCTTGTACATTGAGGCACATGACAACCCAACCAACAGGCAAGACATGGAGGATTTACATTCCAATCACGTGCAATGGGAGATGTAAAAAGGCTGGCAGCTGGCGGCGCTCCTTGTGAAGACATGGCGTTGCCAATCGATAGCAATGTGTGAACACTACTGACTTTCTCGCTGTCTGTGGCCGTAGCCGCCAGAGTTCATTTGTGAACACATGGCAATTCATGTTCATGCCAGCAGCTACTAGTAGCGTCCTTGCTCCTAGTAATGCCAGGAGCTACGTGCGTAGCTTCTTGCTACTAGTAGTCTTTTCATGTCGTGAAGGGCAAAGCTTTGTGCCTTGAGTTGCCGAGCATCGGTCCGAGGGTGCAGAAGTACTGCTAGACAACATTCCATACAGGCACTGTGTGATATCTGTGCGATGGCAAAAGCTCTCCAGGCGACTACATGGGTCAAATATCATCAAGCATCAAGCGTCTACATGGGCGTGTATTGAAACAGGAGACCTCCCAGTTCGACTCCCTGGAAAAAATACATGGGGGGACGTTTTTGGGGTTCAAAACCCATGTATCCGGGTTGCCCCCCCCAAATTCAACGGAAGAAACACCCCCAGTCATGGTCGTTCCCTAAGTTCAGATATTGTATAGGCCGGTATAGGTTAAACAGTCGTTCACGCTCCTTTTCAGAGTCGTTCACGGGCAACGACTGGGTCGTTTGGGTTGTTAGACCTGATCGTTCTCCCAACGACTTCGCTGCTCACCACGGCAGTCGTTCGCCCCCTTTTTCGTTCGCCCCACGACCACGGTGCCAGCGAATGGGCAGCTGCGTCATGCCTGGGTCGGGGCGAGTGGATGTGGGGAGTTTGGTAAATTACCACCAGGCCATGACTATGGAGTTTGGTAAACTAGAAGCAAGCCCGTGTGGTCACCTGTTAAAGCCCCGATCAACAGCGATGCAAAGCGAGATATGTCATAGCAGCAGAATGGTCTCAAAGCGGCATGTCTTTGGAATTAGCTTCTTGTTGTCTGAAAACTATTGAAAACTCAGGTCTGTTCAAGGATAAGGTGATAAACAAATGATGTGGCCGGGCCATATGGTCTAGGACTCCCCCCAAAGCAATGAGTGCAGTCACCCAAGACACCAGTCTCAAACTCAACGTGCTTCCATCCAATTCTGCCCCCGAATCCGTGCGAACAGAACCCTGACTGAACGTCCCTCGCTTCACCTTGAATGGGGATGCCCCGCCCGAGGTTCACTTACACTCTCTGAAACAATTATGGAAGGGGGCCCTTGAATGACCTTCTTTCTCTACAAAACAGGTAGAGAAGAACTCCACTTCCATGATTCTTTCAGGGAGTGTACCCCTATTTCTGCGCACAACGTGCAGCACCAGCGGAGGCACCACCAGCTTCGGCTGGGCACCATACGCAACTTTGTGCATCCCATGGGCTGCAGTTCCAACCTCGGTCATGGCCCCTCGGCCAAAGGCAGCCCATGTGCGGCTGAAGGAGGGTGAGTGGAAGAACGGTGGAGGGGGAGGGTGAACAAACACCAAAACAACATCTCCAAATCTCCCCTCTTCCGTGGGAATGTTTTTGTCAAGGCCATGCCATGAGCATGGGTCCCGGGTGACAAGGAATCACCGTAGCATTCTCAATTTCTTGTTTGTGCCTGTCATGTTTGTGTCTTGTTGAGTTCTCTTCAAGAGTGCTAAACCGAGGGTGCCCTCCTGTTACTTACCACTTGCAATCAACATCAGTTGACCTTCCAGTGATTCTTATGTAGCGAGATGTATTTGATTAATATATGCTTATGCTTGACCCACACATTATGTTCTTAGCAAGAGTATGTATGCATCAGTCAGTGTCTTTTCAATTTTAAACCTGAGAAAGCAACAAAACAACAGGAGCAAGGACGCTACTGGTAGCTCCTGGCCTTACTAGTAGCAAGAAGCTACGTTCGTAACAAAGGGCATCGCTACGAACGGAGCAAGGACGCTAGCTTTAAAAAACGTGGGGCCTCGGCCGGTCGGCCGAGGTCCCTCGTCCCGTCGGTCGCACCAAGAAGCCGCGTGATGGGGCCAAAGTCTGGTACCTGCCGAGTCGCAGCTGGAGCTGAGGTGACTTAGATCACGACCAAAGAAGAACTGAAAACCCATGCATCAGAGATCATTGAGTATAATACGTAAATTGATAATCATTGACGATCATCTGACTATCAAAAAAAACTTTGGACTGAGTCTATCATTGACTATCTTCTGATGGTTTGGTGACCAGACCACCCATGAAAGGACACAAGAAACCTGCATGCAGAGAATGAAAGGCCTGAGTGGCAAACATGTGATCATCTGTCGCTTGCATTTTGCGGGAATGGCACTGACCTAACCCATGATTTTCTAGTAATACGACTGCCCTCTCACCTCTCAACCAAAACCACCTTCACTGATGGTTGACCATGGTGGACCATGGTTGACCATTCAGATCCTTTGTGATAAAGAACCCGTTTCTGATCCTTCAGCTTCGTCTCGCCCACCTCTGGTTGTGGCGGCACTTGGACACCAGGACTGGCGATCCGGACGCACTCGTGGTGTTCGTGAACTCGTGGTGAGGAACGGTTCGCCATGTTGAAAAGGGAGTGTTCATGCTTAAAGGGATCATCTTAAAGGGATGACATGTCGTTTTTTCATGCTTAAAGGGATGTAGTTTTGAGATTGTAGAGGGACTTGTCAAGAACAGAGCGCATCGAACACGGCTTTGTCTGGTGTTTTGCATCGAACACGGCAGCCTTGATTCTCGCAGGAAGAAACATGCAGCCTATGGATGTCTAGGGTGTGGGCAGGTCCTGGCAGGTGACGAAGAGTTGTTTGCCCTTTGCAGCTTTCTGTAATGTCATGCACCCCTATTCAGGCAGTCTAAATACAGCCACTGGGGTCATAGAATGTCATAGACCTGCTGTGCATGCGTGTAGCACGCCTGCTACGCACTTTGATCCATGCTCATGGAAAGAAAAGGAGCTAAGAAGAGGTCTCGATTCATCTGTCAAGCCTTTGCAGCTTGGTCTTTGGGACTCAGGTCTCAGACCAGTCTATATACACACGTCGTTGTCTCCCGAAGCGTCCTTTCAAACAGCTTCCACATCCAGGTGAACAGGAAAGAGATCGTCTACCGCAGGACATCTATTGATCGAATGTCGCATGTCTGGGTTCTGACCCATAGCCACCATAGCCAACAGGGCAACTGGCTGCCAAGTCCTTGAAGTGAGAAAAAGATCTGGAGAACTCTGTTGCGGCAACGTCCACTCTTCGCTCTAGCCTGCCATCCCACGGGCTGTCCAACACTCCCAACCAAAAACAAGGACCACAACCATCAGGATCAAAAGAAAGAACACTGTGAAGGAACATGCTCTTTAATTTCCATGTTCGCCACCTTCTGCCTTTTCCGGATGAGTGACCGAGGCATGCCTCCCGAGCCTCCCGAGCTTGTGGCGTCGCCTTGGCGTCTTCGCCCAGGAGCGCCACAGAGCGCCGGGCACAAAGGCGCTGGGGCAACGGTCGAAGTGGGCCTTGGATGTGCCCAGCGAGCCAACCACTCCAATGGGAAGTTCGCGTCTCCAGATATGGGGATGTGGCCAGCCAACGGACCTCCGGACTGGCTTGATATGGAGTGTCTGGGATTTGACGGTGCCATGAAGGGCGGTGGTTATGTCTAAGAGATTGGCTCAGTGGGAGGGTTGGTGTATTGGAATAGGGGTCCATAGGGGTCCATGGCTACAGACCTGGACCCAATCGCTCGAAAGCACTCTAGGGACCCTACTAGCGATGGCCTCCAACCTACTAGATACAAGTGTTCCAGCGTCCGACGCTCCCTCCATCGACCACTGGGAGGAAGGCTTCGATCCCAAGCACCTTCGACCGACCCGCGCCGATCTGTCGAGTCCCGCTCCGACATGGTCGGACTCGATCTCTCTTTTGTCGTCTCCTTTTGGTCGGGGCACCAACCCACCGGGTGTTCTTCACACACTGGGCACATGAATTCAGGAGATCGTCCTTTTTGGGGGGCAGAGCCTTTTTCCTCCGTTTTCTCCCTCTTTCGTGTTCGACTGAGCATCGCTCCACCGCGTGGGTTCATCGACTGCACCGCTGCGACCGCTGCGATCCGCAGCAACCCACGTCGACGTCACCGGCACGCCGAGTCACCACGGACTCGAGCATCTGGGACTCGAGGCCTCGGGAAGCAGGATGGGACCTCGTCGGAGCATGGCGTTTTAAACTAGTGGTTTTGGGGGGACGGGATATGGGTGCAAAAGGTCTGATTTGTTTGAGACTGCTGTTAAAGTATACACAATGAAATACACGTATATCATGTATGTAGTATTATGTAGTTATAGTAAATAACTATATAGTTATATAAGTTATATACACTATACTGTATACGTACCATTACACTGGCCACACAAAAGCGGCGCTTCTTGAAGTTCAAGCTGATTTCAAACCTTTCCCACTCGAATCCTAATTACGTGGAGAGACCATGGGAGACCTCGCTAATTCGATCCACAGCTGATCCAAAGGTGTTTTGAACATGCTGAACAAGTATAGACTATTGTTGTCTGCATGAAGCATGTGCTAGTCCCTGCTCCGGTCAGTTAATCGATGTTAATTGTCATCACCCTTTATTCAGCGCCACTTGTCGCATCTGTGCTTTTATTCTCTGCGCACTGTGCGATCTGCGCCGGGTGTTACAGGCTTGGACTCCTCACAGGACCGAGAACACGGATGGCTTTACAACCGGAGAAACCTCAACTCCAGCACGAGGTCAGAGCACCTCACAGAGCGCCAAATGCCGGGTACAGTATAGGCAAAGGCTGAATCACCCGGACCGAGCAGCTCGTTCAGCCCTTTCGGCAGTGTCTTTGGCGTCTCTCGCAAGTCTTTCCGCATCTCTCGCAAGTCTTGCAGCCGTCGACGCTTCGGAAGAAGCTTCATCCGCGTCTCTCTGGGCTGCTGAAGCAGCTTTGGAAACTCTGTCCAACTTGTAATCAACTTCTTTCAAGGCTTCCTCCATTCGCTCCAACTGTTGATAGGTTTTCTGCAGATCATCCTGAGTTTCTTGCAATTTCTTGCGATTGTGTTCTCCCATCTGGATGGCATAGATACTGCTGGTCTGTGGAGGTAGCTCGGGTGAGAATAGAACGTCAAGAGCCGCACCATCCAAAAGATGCAGAGGTAAATTCCTCGCGGTTGTTCGGTCTGTTTTGGTCTGCTCTAACAAAACAACTCCAGGAATGGATGAATCATTGATAAATGATATGTGACTGAGTGCGTGCGTGTGTGTGTGTGTGTGGACTAGTCGCGAGTCCTCCAGGTTATAAAAAAAAGGAACCACTGGATCAAATCATCCACTCTTCGCTGCTGAAGCAGCACCCCGTCCTCAACACTTGGATGGGAAAGACGGACGCCTTCGCATCAGCGGACAGGTTGCACCACCTGAGGGTCGAAGTCTTGGACGAAACCATGGAGCACTGGCAGGTTCATCACTCAAAGCTGAAACCATGGCATGACGAAATACTATGCCGAGCTGACAAGCCACAACTGGCATGTGTGATTTCTGTGTATACAAAAAATCAAATTGATTGATTAGCTTCGTGACATCTATAACCTCGGGAGCCATGGACCCAGCTGACCTGACTACAAGCCCAACGGCTCTATGGCAATCTTCTTTTTGCAAGTTGCCCCAGACAGGACACCAAATATCTGAGAACTTGCTCCTGAGATCGTCGTCATCGCACTGCTCCATTCGCATCAGCAAAGTGCCGGCAACCCAGGGCTCACTTCCCTCCAAATCCATAAGACACTTGAGCCATTCCAACGGCACAGTCTCGGAGATGTTGTCTGGAAGGGCAGCCCCAGCAAGGAAAAGGCGAAGGAGCATCTGGCCCACGTCAGCATCAGCCTCTGTAGCGTGCAGCCCATGGTTCATCAGATGGGCAAATGTTGCGCCCAGTTTTTCGGAGCAACAAATCGCAGCGTCTCGTTGATGAGTGGCCCATCGCAAAAGGCTTTGAACCTCTTGGTGGTTCTTAGAGATCATAGCCACGATCTCTTCCAGCCCTCCCCAAGCAGTCAGAAACTCTTCGAACAGACAAGCGCGGCGCTTCTGAGACATGTTTGCTAGAAATTGCACAGCAACATCCTTCTCCATGATGAACTGCACAAATCCACTGTAGTCACTTTCACTTGCCCAAGTCAAGATACCTGTAAGCTTTTCCAAGTCACAGGAACGCGACAGGCAGGCAGTCAAGAGTTCCCGCGCCTCACTGATGGGCACCACATCTCTCCTGCTGCAACAAGCGTTTAGAAAATGATCGAACTCTTGGATGGTCAACTGACGCTGATGAGCCAGCAAAACATGTAGAGAGAAATCCGCACCTGAAAGCCTGGTGGTGGGCAAGCTGAGTAACCGGTTGCTTTCCCTGGTCGCCACTCCAGCGACTCGGTTTTTTAGGCAACAAGGCTTGAGCTAAGCTCAAGTCTGTGGTTGCTCTAGAACAGAAGCCAAAGGACAATGCGGAAAAAGAAAGTGGCAGTAGGAATGCCAAAAGGCTGTCCCTTTCTGACTTCAAAGGGTCGCAAAAGAATGCAAAGACCACAAAGGTCGCAATGTCAGCTCCATCTGCTTTAGCAATCACATCCTGGCATTGAATTGCCTTTCGAGCCATGCCTATATCCTCCAGCTTCAGGGCATAACACAAATAGAGTTTCACATCTGCAATGGTTTGAATCCATGCGGTGGATTCCGGACTGGCACTGTCAGGCGCAGCGCGCAGCCCAGGCGCAGCGCGCAGCCCGCGAAGCCCGCGCAGCTCGCACGCCTGCCGCAGGAAATTGATATCCTCGAGCAGCTCTGCGTCGGCATATCGAAGAGCCTTGTTGGACTGGCGCATGATCTCCAAAACAACCTCACCTCGGCTTAAAGGATCTGGAAGGAACATGATCCGAAAATAACAGCAAATACTACTAGCAAACACTCTATATATAATATGAATCACTTTCCGTAAAAAGTCGCCTACTACGCAAAAAGCTGGTGACTGGACTTCCAGATCTTTCCTGGAATGTTTGCAGCTGTCTGAACACAGCTCCAGTCTGATGCGATGCGTTCCATCCACTCTGCCACTTCTGGGTCGCGCCGTGCCAATGAAATTGGAGGAGAGCCGTCTGTCTGTGCAAGTTTGACTATCAAAGAGGAATCCTGTAGGAGCATCTGGTCCATAACCCAGCATTGCTCACGAGCTGGAATCTTGATTTTGTTCGCAAGCCGCATCTTTGCATCTGACACAGTCCAGCTTGAACCCACACCAATCTCAACAATCTCGCCTGACATGGTGCAAACTTTCAAAGTGGCAGCAGGATGCTTGCAAACACACGAGCCAGTGGTGGCCTCTTCAGAAACCTGTCGGGTCTTTCCCAGCCATTTGAAGCCTCTTTTCAGCAACTCCATCTGCCCTGCACAACCGTACTCTGCATGATGTGGACATGGAATTCCTGCTTGGTCGTTGGACACTGCCTCTTGAACATATTCACAAGCACTGCATTTCAGAAATCTCGTCCAACCCAACATGAGCACCAGTCTCAAGGCTTCAAAAATGGGAACGAAATCTTGAGCATCGTCCGCTGAAGAGATCAGATCACCCTTGCAGATGCCATTCATATCTCATAAAGAAATGAAGCTGGCATTCGCACGTTACGACCTTCCGCTACCTTCCTCCGCATGGAATCCTGACAGAATCGATGGCACACTTGGACACCTCGACCCATTTCCAGGCCTTCTTCCCAGGACTCGTTCAGGAAGTAGACCCAGGCCTTAGGCAAACGAGAGGTGAATCTTGCTCGGGCATTGCTCGGTGAGTCAGTCAATTTGCTTGGTGGGTGAGTCAGTCAGTCACTAAGTTGGTAAATTGATGTGAATCGTTCCTTGCACTGCTGAAAGTTGGAAGACGACTTCCAAGGAGTCCTACAAACTTCTTTCGGAGGTTCATGTCAATCGAGGGATTCTTGGCCTTACAAGAAAACCGTTGCAGATCCTGCTTAATACTCGAGTATCTGAATGCGCCTTTGTCAAAATAAATGCTCAACATCTTTTGGGAAAGCCCTTAGCTAGAGATCAAATCCGCATGTGAGGAAGCTTTTGAGATGCGTTTCTTTCGGCGCGGCTGGCTTAGGAACTTGCACTTAGAAAGAACAGCGGCTTGGCCTAGGCGCTTTAGCAAGTCAGTTGGATCCGATCCATAGGTGAACTGTCCGTTGGTATTTCCCTATGGAACATCCAGAGTGAAATTCAGAAACCAGCAAAGGGTGCTTTGACATATAATACAACTGTTAAATCATTATAACTCATGAATTCGAGCAACTTGTCCATGAAGTCGGGCCTGCGGTTCCTTACAATGAAGCAGAAGAGCGGTGCCGAGCAGTGCTGTGGGACCTGACACACAGAAACACCGCAACACACCAGACAGGGGGCTTTCGGTGTCGGTCGTGCGCGCCGTTCGAGGTGTCGGTCGTGCCATGGCTCGACTCAACCATTGGAGATGTATTGAAGTCCCAGTAATCTCACAGAAAATCCGTCACTAAGCCCGAGGGCTCCTGGCCTACCTCCGTTTCGGTCGGGTTTCGAAGGGGGTTCCAGGGGGGTCGAACCACCTGAGGATCTGGACAATCTGGAAATCCAGATCCAAAAGGACACTCCCCGTCCGGGGCTCGTTGACGCCCCCCCCCCCGAGGTTGCTTGAGGTGCCACGGCACCCAATCTTCCGTGGGCAGCAACATCTCGTCCCTGCAGGGTTTGGACGGGGTTCGGAGTGTGTGTGTTTTCTGTGCGAGTTCAGTGTGAGAATTCTGTTCACCCCCCCCACAGCTCAGGAGGTTTAGAGATTTAAAAAGGAGGTTGATTCCAGTGAACAAGGATGCGAATTGATTGACTTCGGGATGATGAAAGAGTCTTCTCAGAAGGGCCACCTTCCTTCTTCTCAGAAGCTGGACCACGACCCTTGCCCGAAGGACCACCTTCCTTCTTGCTTTTGACTAAGACCCACCCTGTTCGGTGCATGTTTGTTGCAAAAGAAGAAGTCCGAGCATGTTGCTTTGGAGCCGGGTACCGAGGGTCCGTGGTTCCGACATCTCGACATGTCAACGTGGAGAACCATTTCAAGGCGATTGCAATGATCCTGCGACTTACAATACTCATGTGCACATACTCAAACACTCCATCAAACACGCCCCCTGTTAGGTCACCACCTGCGACGTTTAAGTCTGCATTTCAGCCACCAGAGGAGACCTGTAGTCGGGTCCTGGTATGGAATCTATGACCCCTGAAAACACTTGTGAAAAAATGTCAGTAATATGTATGACATGAAGTGTCTGAGCACCTCCTGACCGTGTGAGCACCTCGTGACCAGAAAGAAGAGCATACGGATTCCATATATGAATCGAGTGTCCCGTTGAACAGATGTTTTGTGGCTACCATGAACACCAAGGACCAAGTGAAACACTCGACATGGCGTTCCTCCTCCCAGCCCGTGCCTCACAGCTGGAGGCGGATTTGGACCAGGCCCATATGGCCCATCTGCATGTGTTTTGCAGGTTTTTTGGTGGGAGGGACATGGGATTTTGTTGGGAGAAAATGGTGAACCCTTTAATTAAGGTAACCCAAAAAAAATCGGTAACCTCAGGTCGCTCTCGGAGAAATCCACATGTCGTGGCTCAAACCCGCGTTGCGGATGGCCTTTGGTCTATCCGATCCAACAGGAGCACAGCGACACATCACATGGGTCAGCGGTCAGCTGACGGGTCACCCGGCATCAAAGGGTTGTGATTACCTGGAGGACGGTGTTCCTTGTCACACATGTTTGTTTAAAGGCTCTTTTTTGGGAGGGTGGTGACATCATGCTAGTATATACCCTTAGCCTAGAAGTCCATAGTTTGGCCACATTGAAGTATATAAAGGAATATAGACTCGGGTCATCTGTAGTCAGACATCATTCTTGCTTATTGCCTTTAGTTGCCGACCCTAGAACCGGCCAAAGAATTGGGGAGTTACGCAGGGGAACATAGTAAGAACTGTGCCAAAAAAAAAAAGGAGGCAGTGTGTGAATGGAACCCCGGGGGATCCCTTATTTCTTCTCCCAAAGGTCTACGTGGTATTATGCGGGATACATCGGTATAATCGTGGGTCTATCCTACTACCTGTAACAGTGGATGATGATGGTTAGGTTGCAGGCCTTATTCAAAAAATGATGATTTAATTGTTTACTGACTGTTACAGGTAATACGACAAACCATCGGTATAAGCGTGTTCTTTTTCTTTGGTGCCCGCCGAGGAGGGACCCCCCTATTTGCAACCATCCATGTTCCCTGATCGGCATCTCTTCCAGTCCCACCGGTCGTGTCTGGGATTGGATCCTCTTTCACTAGGTTTGCCTCGCGATGCTCGTGACTGCTCGTGTCCTCGGTGTTTTTTTCGACACGGACGGACTCCCACAAGCGCTCTTCGCAAGAGGAGGGACCACCAACTCCCACAAGCGACCCTTTTTGGACTCGAAGACCTGAGCTGGAATAAAAACAGACCTGGACCTTCCAAGGGGTGCCCAATGGAGATCCATAAGTAGTGCAGGGGCTTTCATGGGTGACCCCGAACGGAACGAACGGAACTGCTTTCGTTTATGTTTCGCATGACCATCTCCTGGAAGAAACTGGAAAAACGAAAGGTGTCCTTCCGAAGAATTCCACACCGATCCCCATCCGTCTCGATTTCTGTGTGTTTTTTTCCGTCTCCCTCCGCACCATCCAGGGGCACTGGAACAGCTTGATGCGCCAGGGGCTTCACGAAGATCAGAGGACCTAGCCTTGAGGCAAGACGTGATGAAAATGGGATCTGGCTTGGTGATGAGTGGTTCTTTTAAAGTCCATCAAAGGTGAAAGTTTGATTGATTCATTGTCACACAGTTGTGGCATGCCTTATCTTTCTCAACTCTGAGTGGAATTCAACGTACTGTATCATGATATCGATGCGCTTCACACGTCCGATCCCTAACCTGTCCCATCGAGAGTGAAGGCCCAAGGTGTCTGGAGAAGAATGATTGACGCTCGCAACTGATGTTGGACTGGGACATACTGGCACATGTTGGGGGGGCAATTGTATATAACTTTTTCTGTGTAAGCCATGCATGAAACAGGCTTCAGGCTGAGGACAGAATTGTTGAGAGTCCTTCAAGTGAGGGAGACCCCCTTGTTTTTGTCTATTTTCCTTCTTCCAGGGGCTCCCTATTTTAATACACACCCATGTAGTAGTGAAACCACTCTCCCAACATCTCCAGATGTGAGATGGGAGTCGGAGGCGACCACTCAAACGGGTTCCTGAAAACAAAATGTGAAAGCAAAACTGGCTATAGGCTATAGGTGACAAGCCCACCTATAGCAGTGTAGGAGCACTCTCCAGCTCCTTGTCTATAGATATCTATAGCATAAACCCTGCCCCCCCACACCCATACCCTTGCCACGCTTCCATGCGTTCGAGCGATTCCCCGCACCATCCACCATGGACTTCGCCCAGCGGCGAGAAGTGGCCGGCACTGCCCTGCGGATCAAGAACCAGCTGCCAGCGAGCCGCAAAGCGGACCTGGGATGGCACGCGACTGCGTGATGTTCTCATCACGCGAGGCGAGGGAGGCCATCACGCGAGGCGCTGCGCTGGATGTGGCATCCTCCACAACATCGAGAGATGGAGAACATCTGGAGGGTGTTTCATTCCGACCAGCGACCAGCAGGTGGTGGCCCACCAACTACAGTAAGTCCGTCCGTCCTTTCTCCTCTCCCATTGCCAGCCCTTGGCTTCCGCCTCCCAAACGTCCGGCTTCTCCACTAAGAAGGTGAAGACTGAAGGGCCTCGGTCGACCCAACGAGCTGCGATCCACTGACCGCATCAAGTGACCCACGTGACCCGGTCCAGGTGATCTACCTGGAGTCGACACGTTCGTACCTCGGAAAAAAAAGAGTACATGTATGCACCTGCCTTTTTGTTCGGGTTCGTTGACTTGAAAAAAAAAATATATAAGTACTTTTCAGGTTCCCTCCCGTTTCGGTACTGTATATCACGTTGAAAGTCGGTGATCCCATTGAATAAAAGGTATAATATCACCTTGAAAGTCGGTTCTTGACCGCTTCGTCGCTATCAGATCAACCGAATCGTCCCGTTTCGAGTCCTTCAGATCCCTCGGTCCCCCGACGTGGGGAGACGTCTGTTGGGACCTTCCACGCGCCCTGTGGGCCACGGACCTGGCGTGGTCGGAGGCGAAGTGGTGCGGGGAGACGTTTTTTTCCGGGACGGTGGCCGGGGTCTTTTGCCATCCCTGGTGGGTTTTGGAGTGTGGGGTTTAGGGCCTTTACGGCTTTAGAGCCTTTAGGGCCTTTAGGCTTTAGGCTTTCGGGTTTGGAGCCCTCCCTGGCTTGCCGACCTGTTGTGACATCAGCCCCTTCCAAAAAGATGCCGACGATGTCTTCTCGGTGCTTCCCAGGCCGGGAACACGTCGCCCAAGCTTCCGCGTGGGACGTGGGACGTCCGCGTGGTGTCTCGTATCTCAAGGCCTCTTTCTTACTGCACACCCAACTAGGCACTGGCAATTCCGTGCAACAGTCCCGGTATCACCTGTTCCAGTGATAAAATCTCCTTCCATCTGACGCTTCTCAACACCCACCCTGATAATCCATGAAATGCTGCGTAGATGGGAGACCTTACTGTGGTTCAGAGGTATCGTCTTCTTGTTACGGAGAATGGTGGAGATGTTCTCCACCATTGAAACCACCCAAGACAAACACAACCCCTGGACTGTCTGGACCCGATCCCTCGGGTCGAAGGCCGAAGATGCCGAAAGGTCCATCCAGCTCGACGAACACGAGAAGCCGCTGAGAGCCGAGCCAAAGCAACATCGAAAGCCACATCCATGAACAAACACCAGCATGCAAACACCTCATTCTTAAGCTATTCACCGCTCAAAAAAAAGGTCCATCGACATGACAATGTACATGGAACCCAAAAAAAGGGGTGAATTCACGGAATGCAGAGCGGGCCCCCCACTTCGGCGCGAGACAACTCCGCCTCGGAGCGAGACAACTCCGCCCAGCACGGCACCCGGACCAGCAGCTGGAACCTCGGGGGCCCACTCCGAGAGGTTCCAAAAAAGAGCCCAACCCGAACCATCCACGCGCGACGGTGTCGAATACTGTTCCCTGTGATTTTGAGGTTCCGACTGAGTGGTGTATGTCGAACTTGAGATGTTGTTTCCAGTTGAAAGAGGTTGAAAGCAAGACCAAGTAAGGACAGTCCATTCGACATCTCAGACTGCCATGTGACTGCCATGAGTGACGTTCTCTGCACGCCCCGGCGCCCCGGCGGTGTGGAGGCCTTTCGGACCACGTAGCGAAGCGAGGCCTGGAGCGGTGCGGGAACAACACGAAATGCATTTGACATGCTTAGACAATCCTTAAGAACCCAAGACATAGGAAACCCAGAACTTCCCAAGAGTAACAGGATCAGGCGATCGCTATTAGGCTGGAGGCCATCGCTAGTACAGTAGGTTGGAGGTCATCGCTATTAGAAAAAAATAGGAAACCCAGAACTTCCCAAGACATAGGTTACATCTAGGTTCATGTCTTGGAAGATCTGGGGGAACGAATTTCGAACCCCTGCTATCTGTGATGGAGGGTCCAAGGATTCTACTTGCAAGAATGCCATTAAATGCCATTAACAGGTCTGAAGCAACTGAGACGTCTGATTTGATCAGGGTGTGAAAAGGAGGGAGCTTGTGGTGTAAAACGTGTGACTGGTAAAAGATGGTCTGAAGTCATGGTCTGATTGTTCCACCAGGCAATGTCAAACCTGTACGTGTGGTCTGACCGACGATGTGTGATACCCACAGATTCACTGTCAGTCTTGGAACCATCCGGCTTCTCAGCGCAGTGTATGTTTGTCCTACTCTAGGACTCTAAGAGCCAGAGTGGTACTATATGATTGCTTATTTACATGTTTGTTTTTCATACACGTCTTGTTACATCAACTTTATACTCATATTTGTAGAAGGAGATCGGACATCCGAGCCTCGGGGTTGAAGGGGTAGATCGTTTCCAACTCCACCTGCGCGCGCTGCGCGCTTCGCGGTGTCACCGCAACAGGTGAAACAAACAGCAGTCGCTGAGCCAAAGAGTCGTTGGAGAAAAAAGCGGTCGAGTTGGAGCAACCACAAAAAGCCATCCTTTTCGGCGTTGATTGTGGTGCTTTCTGGCTGTGTTGAGTCACGTGAGGCTTGACTGGACACTGCAGGAATGACACCTTAGAACCATGAGAAGACAAGAACCACTCACCACTTCGAACTACCAAGCTGCCCGGGTTGAGGAACTCCCAGTACAGCTCCGAACGGCTTCCTGCAAAAAGGGGGAAGAAGAATTGGTGCTCCCGAGCCCTCGCTCCGCAGTCGCTCCCGAACGGGCTCGTATCAGCTGGTACTAAGAATCCGAACGGACTGGCGTTCGGGTTGGACCCGAACCAAACCCCTTCGCGGCACGGCCCGGATTCTTTGGTAGACTGAATACTCTCACCACTTGGACCTCGCACCATGCCACAATCGTGCCCCTCTCCGCCCGCGGTCCCCGCGGTCAGGCCGCCCCCCGGTCACCGCGGTGCCTCCAGCATTGGCAGCTTGACGGTGGACGGTGCCAAAGCCGCTGAGAGCAATAAGGGCCTCGTTGGGACACTTGAGGAAGAAACACATGACGTTGAGGTATCCTCTACCTTCAAGGGTGCCGGGTACCCCGCTTCTTTTGACTGAAATCATTCTTAACGGTATTGGAATGTTTGCCCCTCAAACAAAACATCGTTTGGACCCAGGTGTCCTTCCAAGTTGTACAACTTTGTATCTGGTTTGGGTCGAAACACCCTGACACTGAATGAATATAACATGAGCCGAATATGGACGGCGCGATGTCAACCCTTTCCACTGGTGACCGGAGTGACATCCCGGGGGCAAGTGTCACTAACCACTCTGTCGAAGAGATGGAGCAACCACAGGCGCCTGTGGATCACCATGAAAAAGAACACTTTCCTGGGAGATTGGGGAGTTTCCCCATCAAACCATGTACATGACAGAGCCGTTGTGTGTTCATGCCGTGGTGTTCCTGATCCGAGCTAACAGGACAAGAACTGTACAGAATTGCTACAGCGTGTAACAGATGTATAAACATGTTGTTACACTTTAAAAATAATGTGTAAAAAAAAACTAAAACTTGTGTAGTGAATGATCCCCAGAGTGTTTCCCGAGGTTGGTCCAACAACCCACCCGGCAGCTCAACCGGTGCATCTGGGCGGCATTTCACGTGGAGTACCTAGGCAGCGGAGGTGCAAGGCAAGGACTCAGGGACTCACTATGGTGACCGCCAGAAGATGACTCCGAAGATGGCATCACCAACTTGGGTCCAGAAAACCACAGCATGTGGACATTTGTGAAATGCTTGGGGAGATGACAATCACCTGGAAGCTAGATATAGAGATTCCGACCCTTTCCGAACATTCACCTGTGGCTAGTCACATCCGAGTTGGCAAGCCATGTCTTTCACTCCAATGGAAGGGGTTTGGGAACCGGGTCCGAACGCCTGGCCGAACGCATTTCGGTCGAGTGTCGGTCCGCACCGAACAGGTTAACCGGCATTGGTGAAGAGCCTGGAGAAGCTGTTCCGAACAGCGTCTGGTTCTTTAAGAATGAGGCGCACGACAGGCTGCACACGACAGGCTGCACAAACGTCGCTGAAACTTAGTTGAGCAGCTATACAGTAGCACAAACTTCATAGACCTGACCGGTTGGACCATGGAAGATTTCTCCGTGCAGTCCACGCGCCCATGAAGACTTCCACATCGGGTGTGCTCTATCCGATTGTGACTGTGCATGATTTGGGTCTGCCGCCATAGACCTCGATATGAAAGAAGTCCAAACCTTGATGGTGCAGCATCCGAACCTTGGTGTATCAAACATTGATTTAAGGTTGGAAGTGTTCCAAACATGTTCAAATGATCATTCAAAACCCACCCCTGAACCTCCTCGAAAAAAAACAAAAGGGGTTGATTGAAAGAACCTTGCCACATGTGCTCTCACAATGAAAGTCTGCATCGTTTGGAATCACCTCAGCAATTAAAGGCCTCATATATAAGTATACTCATCTCGACAGCGGGAGCAAATTTGCAAGAAAATGCTCCCTGTGTAGGGCAGTCCAGCCAGCCAGAACACCCAGCCAGGATGCTCCTGGTAGACTTGATCTTGATTGAAAACCCTGTTCCCTTCACCCCTCAGCCAGAAGAAATCCAACGATTCCTAATGTTTTCTTGATCTTGATTCACCCCCCCAGCCAGTTCTGATAGAATTCTTCGGAATCGCGACCGCCTCAGGCCACCCCGTCCGTTCGCCGGCCGTGCAGGCTGGGCCGCCCCCACCGGGATCGAAGAGCCAAAGGCCCAAGGCCTCCAGTGGAGAAGGAGCAACCCTCAAAAGTCGCAAGAAGAGGACATCGACAAGAATGGAGGGAGGTAGCTATGGATCAGTATCTGGATCCATAGATGGTATAATAGCTATATAAGGCGGCCCGGCGGCTATAATATAATATTGGATCCGCATCCAATATGGATCAATGCCAGATACATCCAAATACCACCTAATGTTGGTTCCTTATGGATCCACTGCCACCCTGTGCATGAGAGGGTGTTGTGCTTCACACGTTGATGTCCATTTGGGTTCGGGTCTGTACTACGTACCGAACCTGAGAAGGTGGAAGTGGATCCCTAAAGAATGCTCTACACACCCTAAAACAATGAGGGAGGTTATGCTACGTTGGTCTTCCCAAGTACTGTACGAATACGGAACACACTGGCAAACGAACCATCTTTGGATGCCTTTGGCAAACGCTGGTGGTAACCAACAGAGCCAATGCAGTTCCACCTCACCACAAATGACCATTGAATTGCCGTCACACAAGCGAGACCCTGTTCTGCAACCTTGGGCGTCCCCGCAACAAATTTGCCCCAGCCCTGGGCGAAATTCACCGTGCAGCAGGGGAAGTTCCTTAGAAGGCTGGGCCAAATGGCAGCGACCGTTTTGGATGGTTGTGAAACGTTCTGTGAAATGGCTGTCCTCATCATGACCGCTCAGAATCACAACAGTTTGTATGTTCATGTAGTGCTTGACTTCCGCTGATTATAATTCACGCCGACCAGCGGTGTAAACGGTGCCTACGGTGCGTCAATGCGATCTGTATTTGAGAATCGTTCGCAACGTAGACGCTTGTTTGGTATAAGGCTTGATCAACCATTGCTTCAATCGGGATTTGAGACAAACAGCCTGTCAAACCCCGTGAACCGTCCAGCTTATATAAATCCCAAAAATATCCAAATATGATTAACTGTTTTGCTGACCAAATAGCTTGGAATATCATTGAAGGCGTTGCACCCGCAGGTTTGTGAAACTCTCATGCCCACCACCACCACCACCACCACCACCACCAAACCTCACAGTCTTCGACCGAGGGGCGGCGAGATGCCGTACATTGTGGCGTCTAAGCCTACATTGCCAAAGACCTGGGCCAGTTTGCCCTCTTTGGCATCTTCACGCTTATGTGGGACTGCTGATGGTTTTTGAACGTGTTCCCGAATGTCTGACATTTGCTCGGATGTGTGTGCTCTCATGTAAAAAAAACAAACAAACACCCCATACAACCACGCCAGCGTCGCCGTGCGCCTGTGTGAAGGAATACCTCACAACATGGTGTCCCTCAGAATGTGCTTCAGAACAAAACGGATGATTGATGTTCCCGGAAACACCCTCTCAGGCACTGAAAACCGAAAAGACGGTGTAAGTGCCTAGGTGATGGCGAGAGAAAGAGCTGGCGCCAAATGCAGGGACGTCTCGGACAAGTTTGCTTCCTTTTGGTATCTTCAAGTGGTAAACAGATTAACAAGCAAGAACTACCTACATACAAACCTCCTGTACCCGAGTCCTACGCTCAGCTCGGGCTTTTTTGATCTTTTTCCGGATCAAATGCGAGTTGTCGTTGATCTCCCCAAGGAATCCTTGGTGCTTGGAACGCCATAGACAAATTAAACTACATAATCTTGAAATGTTCAATCCATTTGGAACCAATGTCGTACAATCAAAGCCTTTAAAAGTGCAGCTTGCCTTTGCCAAAACGCACGCGTCCGAGACACTCACTCACCGACGCCTAGTCCGGTCGAGCTGTTCCAGTTCTTCCCTGTTCCCACCCCCGGCCTCTGAGAGGGGGCTCGCTTCGCCCTCAGCGCCCTCGCTGGCGCTCGCGGATTCCTGGTCTTCGGCAGCGACGACTGGTCTCAGACACGACCATCCGGCAGGGCCATCGATGAACCATGGAGTTTAAACCCGTGGTCACCAAGTCTTTTTGAAGCTGTGGGCCCTGAAAACATGTATAATTTACATGCCAGGTGGGCAAAAAAATCGAACCCCCCCAAAATCAACTGAATGGTCGAGTCTATGTCTCCCCTCCAAATGTTCACCTAAAGGAGCACCATCGATTGACTGCCATAGATTGACCACCAGCGGTTGAAATACCGACGTTTGGGAGGACCTTCCAAGGGAAGCGTGAAGCTTCAAGAGTTGAGCATTGTCTTGCTTTTGTGCCAGGATAGGAGTTATGGAGTTCTACACGTGAAACGTTCACGAACCTGTGGGTCTAAAATCCCCTTGGCTCATCGATCTAGAAAGAGACATAATTCATATTAGGGTGTATAGCTCAAATAGGGAGACCTCTCAGTTTGACCCCCTGGAAGAAAGGCAATAGACCAAACCCCATTGGTGCTCCCACCACCTACATAGGTGGACAGTTCGTGCTCCCGAATGGGCCAGTTGTTTGTGCAGCTTTGTGGGAGTACTTCCATCAAGGAAGGCAGTCTACCTACAATTTGAAAGCGGCCTGGCGGCCATGTGTAAAGAAGAGTTCTGTGGACGATCCACCAGACTTTTCGTCAGTGTGATTTAGATTGTTTTTGCATGTTGCTGAGGATCTGTTTATGTGCACCTTACGCAATGCTGAAGGTGTCCATGGCATGCGACGCGTGCGTGAAACGACAAAGGCAAAAAAAAACCATTGGTTGGAGGTCACCCATATACAGTAGTATAATACAAGTCATGATTCTTCTTGCAAATGACCCTTCTGGACCCTTCTGGTCATTTTCTTTCAGTCCATTTGGTCCTTTCTGGAGTGGTTGTGCATCGAACTCATCCGTTCTCTTGACCTGTCTGGGACTGCTGTATTGGCCGATCAATGTGGTTGGTTTGGGGGGGGCAATGATGGAGTGTCTGGGTAAGGTGTCCGCAGGGAGCTCCGATAACCAAATCAGGTGAACTTCCGCAGCCTGCGGGCCTCATGACTCATGAGATCACACGCCATCACACGGTCCCATTCGCCACTTGAGGGTCCAAGCAATGCCAGCAAAAATGGCGTTGTTTTGGGTCAAGTACCTCAACGGAGCTGAGCATTGAGTGTGTGACAGTGTGTGAACCAGGTCGCATTCGCTAAAAATCTCTCCCGCGCAGCACTTGTGTGCCAGCAACTTCAGCGCCTGGTTTTGGAGTGCCACCGAAATGAAGAACGACCAAAGAATCTAGATTTGAGAGTTCGGAACCACAGAACTCGGCGCTTCATGTGAAGCGAGGTGAGCATGAACTCCCAAGAAATGCCATTAAACTGGGACATGTTGCCTCATCCATCCTGGGAAGGTCCGGAATGTTGGACCGTCCATCCTTGCAACAGAAGGAGCTTCTGGGAACTTGAAGCGCTAATAGCAATGGCCTCCACCCCAGTAGCAATGGCTACTGTAATCATTTTCGAGATCCAACTGGGTATGGAACCGGTCTTGATGGTGAGGAAGAGTAGTTCACATGCTTCGGTTTCGCTTGCGCCTTTCTTCCAACAATCTCTCGAACTGGGTGATGGGCAACAAAGTTGGTTCCTTTCTTGGATGAACCTTCCTTTATTGGAACACCTCCCCAAGCAAATTCAAACCCCTCCCCCTTGCGCCTGTGCGCTAGTGTAATCAAACACCCACGGTCCACCGTCCGGTTTCTTCGCTCTTCGGCTCTCAAGTGGCTGATGGCTCCAGTGGTCGCCACTCACGGCCGCGGGCAGCGCGTTGAAGGCCAAGGCCTCCAGGGCGTCGACCAGCTCGGGCCTCCCGCACTGGGCGGTTGGGCGGCAGAAAGGCGGACAGCGATGGTGGAGCGAAGCGAGATGAAGTGAAGAGGTCGAAGCGAGGCTTTGGGGATGTTTGATGGTTTTTTTTGGAGCTGTTCACATGATGAATTGCTCAGACTGCGATGTGTGGGCCATCTTTCGAGGGGTCCAAGGTGCATCCATAAGAGCACTGTCAGCTGCTGTTTGGGTCGACCTGTCCAGCAAAAATGGGCGCTTGAGCCGCAGACAGGGCGCGCATTCGCGCGCCCTGTAGCAGCAAAAAGGGCGTGCCTGTCCGGCAGGGCGGCATAGGTCTCTTCGAGGCTCCGCATGGATTCCACCACCACCTGAGACCAGGACCGGCCCGGCAGATCTGAAGGTGACTGGACGCATCGTTTTTAGGCCTCTTGCCCCTTGGGAATGTGATCAACTGGGAAATCATGAGGAGGTACAGGTATCAGAAGCTATGTGCTATGGAACTAATAAGTCGGCAAGTTCTACACGATGTCAAAAACAAGTGTGTATTTGCGACTTTGTGGGCTTGAAGTTTAAAGGCCTTCTTGCCAGTTGACGTTTCAGGGGGTTCTGAGCCATCACAGGAATAGTCCAAGACGGTGAAAAGCCTCAACCCCCTGGAACTTGAGAGCAACAAACATGCTTTAATGCTCTGACACAAAGTTCCAATTAATATATAGTATAGTTGTAATTAATCATATATATATATAATAGAGTTGTAATGTGTTAATTTTTATACATTATTGTTATTCTTGTTATAATATATCCCCCTGGGCCCCTGTGGATCAAATCCTCAAGACCGTTTATGACCAATCCCTATTGAATCAACCACCACTTGGGATTTGAGGAAAGAATCTTGACAGGGATGTATGTTCTGTAGAGCTTTGAAACGAGGTTGCAACACCGGGGATGGGCTGGAGCTTCTCTGGGCTTCCCCAACACAGAGCTCGGTGCCACGATGAAGTTCTCGACCTGCCAAATGTTCCTTAGATTGCAACAAAGAACTCAGGGTGTTCTTAGACACTGAATTCGATCAAAAGTCTTAAAGACTTAGGTCCATGCTCTGCGCGCTTTCACTCTCGTTCTTGAAAAAAGATGGAGAGGATCGATTTCTTGGCCAAGACAACTTCGTCCCAGTACCTGCGCCTCTTTCTAACTCTGAACAACCAAGCCTGAAAGAAATTCAGATATCGAAGATTCTCTGAGCGAACAGGGAATGCAGCATCCACCCCTCAACACAAGGAGCCCTCTTCTGATCTACAGGGTTTGGTTTGTGAACAAATACAAACGGTATTGGTAGGTATGGCCAATCCCAAGCACAAACGCACAAAGGTGTATGAAAGACCCCCTCTTTCGCATGCTTCTCTGGAGAAGCGGAAGTCTAGGCCTTCTCCCCATCTTGCAAAACATTCGAACCGCCAATCCGGCGCCGCCGAGCGCGGCCCTACAAAAGAACGACACCAAAGCCAAGCAGAAGAACCGAAAAAGTCTCAAGGTTTTGTCATTGCCAGTGCCGAAAAACAAAAAAAGCCTGGCCGCGCCGGTTCTCGCCCCCGGACCTTCGTGGTGCATCCCCCCGATTGCGCCACGGGCAACGGCACCGAGGAAAAGCCCCGGCACCGGACCGCTTCGTGGATTTCACCGCCCGACGCTCCATCCTGGGCCGTGCAGTTGTTCTGTTCAACTGTGATTCCCCCGAAAGATGCCGCGGAGCGTCGTCGGCGCCAAAGGCCCCACTGGGCAGACCATGAAACCGCTGCAGCTGCTGCCAGGCATGCAGAGATGCCTGGAAGAAAACCCCCAAGACATTTTGGAGAACAAAAAGAAGAACACCCGAGTGTACAGGTTGGTTGGCCAGTGGGGTGACGCCAAATCTCAAAGACTTGCAACTTGTAGGTTTTACATACTGGGTGGTTCCGTGGTTCTAGATTCTAAGTGGTTTCCATCTTCATCTACAATGCCAGTTTGAAGACCCTGACCCCTGGACTTCAAAAACCGCCCAGAACCACCTTATCACAAAGAGCCGGATTCTACCCCACCTCGGCCAGCGCCGGAGGGCCATAGACATCACTCCAGGCGGCCGCCCACTTCACAGCCACCGCGTTGTTCACACCATGGGAGTAGAGGCTGAAGTTGCCAGCACCTAAAAGGACGACACGACGCCGGGGGGGGGGTCGACCCGTATATATGGTTTAAAAGAACTCAGCAAATGGCGAGAGAGAGAGAGAGAGCGCGCGCGCGCGCCCGTGCAGGATCTTCGGATCACAACCTCCCAGCGACGAGATCTTCACCCGAAGTGACTGGCTCTCGGTGCGGCCGAGAGATATGGGAGGTGAAGCTGGTCCCGGTTCGGTTTGGCAGTTCGGTCAGGTCCCAGCGGAGGCGTTGGCCGCCCTTTGATTCGTTCGGAACCAGGAGCTCAACAGGTGTCGGTGGAGGCTTTTGACGGGTTTGTGTCGAGCTGCAACTGGCTCGAAGCTTTGTGGTGCGATCCGGGGTATGAAGGCAGACGATGTGGTGGTTCTGTTTCGACCAGGCTTTCAGCTGTGACTTCCCGTGATCTCACGACAAGCAAAACTGAGGGCTCGGGCTCACTTCCGCAGTAGGAAAGCTTCCGTTGAACCAGTTCTGCCAATCATAGCCTTGCCTCAAGTGGAGTGAATTGGCTAAGTCGATGACGACGCTTGGGATTATGTTGCACATCACTGGCACAAGAGAGGTTCTGTCTTCTTCCAGGTGCTGTAATCTTCAGCCCACTTGCTCATCTCAATCAAACTCGCATACGTGATCCTCCCCTCCACATATTGATGTGTCCACTTATATCACTTAAAAACATCTATATCAATCGCATCAGCTGCCACTCACGGACATACACCCTTCAACATCTGCCTTGACCCTTCCAAAGCTGGTATAGAACGGTCACCCTTCGTTCCAAGAACACGGATCCGCCACTTCATCGCCTTCGAACGCGTCCGAGGCACACCCTCGCCAGCCAGGCTAAGACACGCAGCATCGGTCGCTTCGCCAGGCCACAACGCTGGCCTCTCCAACGGTCGGCTTCCCGGGTCGTTCCAATAAGGGGCGGAGGGTGGACATGGGGGGACCTTGCGATGTCTGAGGGAGTTTTGTTGCCACCTCTGGTGAGGAGACCGTCTCAAATGATGGAGGCGTCATGGAAACCCTTCAAACCCTTCAAAAATGCCAAACAAAAAAGCGCAAGATTGTAAGATCTCGCACGCTTTTCTACGTCTTAGGATGGTGTGTCCCCTTGGTTGCCAGGGGACGCCAGACTTAGGTGCCAAGCCCCTTTCACCCCTGCTGGTAGATCTTGGCTAACATAGGGTCTACGATCTACCAATACATGGTGGTTCTGAAGATCCCGGGGTATGTACCGCATTCCTCAATGGGTTTGAATGAGTTTGAGATGAGGTTCGCCAAAGGGGTCTGGTTCGTCTTAACAAGACATCTCTCTGCACATCTAAAGGCACGAAACACTGGGAATCAAAGAATCCAATTCAAACAAAGCAGTAGTTGGAGCAGTCGGCATAGTTCTCAGTGGAGTCCAAGCAGCGTGCAGGGGATCTCTCGAGGAAGTTCAAGGTGAGAACCTCACAGTTCCGCTGCGGTGACGTCGCCGCTCCGGTTCTCGAGGGCCCAACGTGTTGCCGATTCGTCGATTCGTCGATTCTGCGTTTCTTCGACCGAGGTTCGAGCAGTCGAAGTGTGGTTGGTTCAAATCCCTGAAACGGTTTCTGCTTGCGATCAGATTTGGAGAAGTATGTCACCAAGAAGCTCTTCCTGGTGCCCAAGCCCAAAGCGTTTAATTCTCGAGGAACGCCAGACGAAACGTCTCTGAGGGTCTGGACCCTCTTCCTCTTCCGGGAGGAACAAGCAAGCCCTTTCAAACAATGCCGGTGAGCAACACCAGCCGTTTCAATTGACCAGATGGCAAGCTTGAAAAGATCACTAGAGAAGCAATCAAAATCATGATGGTGTTCTTATTCGGGCAGTCTCCTATTCTTTTGAACACCCATGTACTGAAGCGATTTGATTGTAGAACAACTCTTTGGACGTGCTTTTGGCGCCTTGAAGGTGTTTGACTTATCAACTTTTGCCAGGAACGATGCATGGCAACATGAGCTTTTTGTGAACTCATTGTGATCCCACAAAATATCTTACAAGTATGCTTCATGATCAAACACTGAATACTAATATGACACAAATAGCTATTTGACGTTGAGGCTTCTAGGGCTCTGTGACCGCAAGCTAGGTGACGCAGTATCGCAAACGAAATCGACATTCCTGTAAGATGGATTGTGATCAACCCCGGAATATGACAGACCCTAGAGCTCCAACCATATCCTCAGGTTCGGTGGTTGGGGTGGGTGCCAGGGGGGCCTAACCACCGAACCTGAGGATATGCTTGCAGTTTCAGGGAGAATAGACAAGATTCTGAGATGATCCTTTCCCAGAATCCCAGGGTTGATCTGATAATTCTATTCTGTCATTCCCATGATTTCACAGAATAGATCATCCCGAATCCCACTTCTTGATGTCCAATCTCTAGGCCATGGAGCCAGCTCACACCATCGGGCCGCACTCCAGGCCACCAATCTCGCACGACCTGTGGCAGGAAAAAGCTCTGGAAAAGCTCTGGAAATACACCCGGCCCGGAAGTGGAAAACCAGGTCAGTTTTGGGTCATTTGGCTGGAGTTGGTCATACAAAATGACTCAAGGAATCTCAAGGAGTTCAGTTTCACCTGGTTTTACTGGGTCTTTGGCTCTTTGGACGTATGTAGAGCCTGGTTGGTCGAGAAAAAGCGAGCGGGGGGGGGGCTTCCCTCGTCGTCCCCCCTTCGCCCCAAACCGACGAGGAGGGGTTTCCTTGCCGGAGTCACCGCGGGTTTATCATGGGTTTGCAGGATCAAGGAAGCTGCATCGGTGGATCCAGGGAGCCTCTCAGACTCCAGGCGTTTCGCCAGTTCCACCAAGAACTCTTCCACGGCGCTCAGCGCGCCGCACGCCAAGGGCTCCGGCGCTCGCCACTCGGCAAACTGCGCCTCCGAGGAGCGTGGCGGCAGAGGAGGCGGCGGCGGCGGTTCCGGAGCTCGGCGGGTTCCGGGGTTCGGAAGGCGAATGGGGGGAATGGCAGGAGGGAAGTTCCAACAAGTTCAGAAAAAGTGGCCCAACTCTCACGTTCATCACCTGATTCATTTTTTTTGCCCCGCTTCTTCGGTCCGCGAAAGAAAGAGTTTCGCTCGCAGGGGGCACTTTCTTTACGATGCGACTCTGGCTTCAGCGGAAGAACCTGCTTCCGGAGAACCTGCTTCCACGGTGAAGAGATTCACACCCCGAAAGAACTCTTCGTGGCTCAGTCGGACCGTTTCACAAGGTTTCGGACGTCTAAGGTCCCGGTTCATGAGACACCACCAAGCCGAACAGGAAAGCACAAAGTCGGGACACAGCGCCCTAAAAAACCATCCCTGCCTACATCTTCCAACTGTGCAAAATCATTCTGCCTTTTAGGATCTATAAAACCAGCCGACCGGTCAAGTTCGGCCAGAAATCTTGCATAAGTTGGAAGATCCACGTGCCTGCGACTCTGAACACAGCGGCGGCGCTTTGTGACCGCCCGGAGACGCGCAAGCAAACACACACGCACGCGTGCGAGCAACTGCCTGCGTCAAGTCCAAGGCACCAGTGCTTGCAACAAAGGCCAACGAGACCATAAAGAGGCAGAGAGCAAGCCTGCACGTTCCTCGCCGGAACAGACGAAACCAATTCCTTCCGGAGTCTTCGGGACGCACAAAAACAGGGCAGACAAAAGGCGCAAACCAACTTGGACCCAATTTGATGCCGGCTGAGAAAGGTGAAAGCTTACCAATGTCCTGACCCCTTCAACCCCGCTCCTCTCTTGTTCCCCAGACAGTTCCTTCCATGTCCAAAACCTGCCCCCAAAACCAAACCGGCCCCGAAACCGCCTCCGCGCGCCGTTCCGTCTTCCGTGGCTCCGCACGCTCGCCGTCCGCACGTCCCGGCGACGGACTCGTCGGCGGGAAAGTTCTCCTCGGGATGATCCATGACTCCCTCTGGCCACTCGTCAGGCCCCAACCAACCTGCCCGGCCGCGTTGTTGCCCGACCGCGCTGCGGTGTTAAGCCATGTGCGTTTTGAGTGCATAAGTAGTGCGGGGGACGAAAAAGAGGAGAGAAAGACTTCGGGAGTAAAAACTCACATGCAACCGAACATGTTGAGTGGTGAATTTTGCACGGAACTGTGGATTACGATTTGGATTAAGTAATGTTTTTTGGAGTTCAGCGAACCGCCGCTCGACCTGACGAACTCCTCCCCAATCCCGCGTGGCGGCCACGTTAATTTTTTGAAGATGAAAAGTAGGACGTCTTTCTTTGGAAACCCAGTTTTCAGAGATTCTGCGGTATTCCTCTACAAGAGAAAGGTGGGGGATCCAGGAGAAACGGGAGGTGGGCGGTCTGATGCTGTGGTGATCGCAGAGTGTAAGTAAGGATTAGTGACGGTAGGACGCATTGGACATGTTTCGCGATCGAGATGAGTGAGACAATTAGTGCAAATGGTAGACAATAGTAGTAGTGAGACAGTCGGTTGAAACCCGCCGAGATTGGACAACGGAATGAACAAGCCCGCAGCAAGCACGCTGTGAGGGGAACAAACATGCCACGCGGGCCACGAGAACTTGGGCACCACCGTCCCTGTCAACCAAAGTACTGTACTCGTTAAACTTTTTCGTTTGCAATTCACTCATATGAACGTACTTGACTTTCAAAGATCGGCCCTCCGCCCCTACATTTCCAGGGGTGTTCGGCCATGTGCATTGGAACCAAAAGGCCGCTAACAATGGTTGAGTCGGTTGAGGAATGCAACCCTCGAATGTCTTGACATCTCCAATTGACTCCAAGGCGTTTTTCTTCGATCGGGTCACCGGGTCAACCTGATTTCTTTTTGGATTCCATCAGGGCTCGCTCAACTCCGACCTTGTCCCAGACACGACCGCCTGAAGCCCACCCAGCTGCGGGGATTTGTTCGCAGAAACCAGGAAACCAACCAGCAACAAGATCTGGATCAAAGGATCTCAAGCAAGATCCCCTTGGAACAGGACATCTCGTCCAATATTGTTTGCCAAATATGGCATCAATAGGCCACTTGATTCGAAATCACACCGTGGATATCCCCTTTCTTTTCTTCACGATCTTCGTGGTTGTCGTCCGCGCCGGAGCGATGGGAGATGAAGCGCGCGGTTCGAAAGCAACTCTTGGCTATGCGTACTAGTAACTTGTGCGTTGGCTATTTGGAGACCTTTCTAAAGTTGAGGGGTGGGTCATGCGCCAACATTGCTGAACAAGGAGCCTATGAGACCCGTGCGGCCTTGGATGATGAGGATGATGCGGATGATGGTGCCTTCTGTCATGTTTGGGGGAGGGCGTCATCGAACATGACCATGATATACATATATATATATACAGTATATATAGAGATAGAGAGAGAGAGAGAGCGAGCGACGTGGCAAAGCGTGTCCGATTGTACGATTGTACGCTGGTACGCTGGCGGTTGGCTGGCAGCGCTGGTTACGCTGGCTAATTACGCTGTTTGCGCTGGTGACGCTGTTTACGCTGGTTAGGTTACGCTGTTTACGCTGGCTACGCTGTTTACGCTGATTGCGCTGTTTACGCTGTTTACGCTGATTACGCTGTTTACGCTGGTTACGCTGGTTACGCTGTTCACGCTGGTTACGCTGTTTACGCTGGTTACGCTGGTTACGCTGATTGCGCTGTTTACGCTGGATACGCTGGTTGACGCTGTGTTCGCTGGTTACGCCGTTAGCACTGGGTACGCTGTTTACATGGATACGCCAGTCAGGTTTCAACGGTGTAACTGTAAACGGTGTAGACGGTGTACAAACAAATTGTGGACACTGATCGCGCCAGTGTATGTCATGGCAACCCTGGCTTAGACATGTCAGTGCTGACAAGTGAAGAACCATGCATGTGCACCTTTCGAAGACCAATGGTCTCAAAGGAGACTCAAAACGTTGCAGGTGGACCGTGCACCTTTCGAAGACCAATTGGCCCGAGAAGCCCTGTGACACCGTGGTGGATAAGTTCTGAAGGCTTGATTATTTTCCCATGGGCGGAGTGGATTTTACCGCACAGGTAGCTATTGCCCAGAGTACTCCCTTCATGGTGTTTTGCCCTTCGTGGCCCATCGACGCCCAATTTGGACTCATGGGCGGGGTGGAGCGGATTCGACAGGCCTAGCTAGTTATTAGGGGTCCAGTTGCATAGATCTGATGAGGTGCTTACATGATCTAGTCGAAAACGTTGATATTTTACCTTATCCACCCTTGCTAGGCTAGGAGGTTCCCTGACAGATCAGCCGGGCTATTGGAACCTCTGGCTGCGGGCCAGGCAAGGAATATGACTACCCAGGAACCCACGTGTCACTCCTGTGGGGCATGGCCGACGTTAGTGTTCCAGCATCATGCTTGGGTCCCATGCAGTAGCTTCTGCATGGTCCTGCGGAGTGGTGCTGGACACACATGCCGCACAGACAGGCACAAGAGGTCAGGCACCATGTGTGGGACGACTTCTATATACCACCCTGCAAGATCCAAATTCCAGTCCTGGATGCAAAAAGATAGCTTTGTGTCCAAACGATAAGACTTGCACACATTTGGAAGAAGATCATCTGAAGCTGCTTTTGGGTTTTGAAGTGCAGTTTTATATCTTTCAGGGCTGACGCAGAGGCCAGGTAGATTCATGCGCATCTGAAGTTGACACGAGGCCAGCCTCAGGGATTCAATCCAACCTGGTTTCCACCTGGCCAGTGTTGGGGAATTAATTGGCAGGCACGCACATGCTTTTGCAGGTTTCATTCTGTAGCGGTTTTCACCTGGTTTCTGGATTGCTTCTACCATGTTTCACAGACAGACCGCGGCCAGGCAGAACCGCATTGCATGGCTTTTGAAGCCGAAGCTGCACATGTTCAAGCATATGCTCAAGCGATGCTTGCGGTGGCTTCATGTCACATGAGGTTTCCATCCAGACTAGTCTATGCTAGGATCTGGTACTGGTCAATAACCTCATTTTATTGGAAGTGGTCCTAGTAACGTAAATAGGTCTTTGGACTTGAGATCATTTGGAACATTGGGCATGCTTCTCGGAGGAGGACAGCATCGGCGTGCTCAAGCATGTGGCCAGAATCCCCCTTACTACTCCCAGTGGTCTGCCGTTTTGCACTTTAAAGTAAAATTGCGTTAGAAAATGAAAAATGCGAAGAAGTTTACTATAAAATGAGAAGCCAACCTTAAAGACTTTAAAGTAAAATGCAACAACATCACAGCAAACTGCTACATTGGCCAGATTGCCAAGAGACATGGGTTCCATATGAAATGACTTGAGATTTGCAAAAAATGCTTGAACCAATCTCATAAGATTTTTGTTGGACAAAAGAGTTTAAGGTTTATAAGTTGAAAAATCAACCTATTCTGGAACAAACTTCCTTTTTTCCTTCTAGCCGCCGCCACAATGAGCTTATGACATGAGTGTCAGTTTCATCATCTTAAAAAAGGTTCTGCATTCTATAGAAGGACAAATGAGGGGGATTGGCCAGACACGTTTCAGGCCAGCAGTGCGAGAGCTACATGATGAAGGTGGCACGCTTGAGGCTACTTGGCTCAACATTTAGGAGAGCTACGATGCATGTGCAGTGCGTTCATGAATGCGCGGTGCACTTTATGTAACAAGGTTGAAGGTTGCCAAAAAACGTATGCGGAGGACCATGTTATACCAAGTTGTTTGTATGAAAAGTGCAGTCAACATGAGGAGAGTTTGCAGTTGGAGTGTCATCATGTTGCAGGATTGACATGGTGGCTGAGTGGAAGCGATGATCGGAGCAATGCTTAAGAAAAAGTGCTCGGAGAGCGGGTGGGCAGAGTTAAGCAGCTTAAGTAGTCCATATAGAGATGTACTGATGTACTAGTTAAACTAGTCTCCCGGGTCCGCAGGGTGTGATTGAGTGAAATGGCTCTGGTGAGTCTAACCGTGGCCCTCGTTGCTTCTCTACTGTCAGGGTGGTCAGATCAAAACCCAAACAAGACATCATTGCCAGTAGGTTGGAGGCCACCACTATTAGGTTGAAGGCCATGGCCAGTAGGTTGGATGCCATCGCTAGTAGGTTGGAGGCCATTGTTATTAGGTTGGAGGCCATTGCTATTGGGTTGGAGGCCATTGTTATAAGGTTGGAGGCCATTGCTATTGGGTTGGAGGCCATTGCTATTAGGTTGGAGGCCATTGCTATAAGGGAAGTGTGATTCCACTGGCAAGAGGATGTCCTTCCGAATTTTCAAATAGGCCGGCCTTTTTCAGGGGTGTCCTCGGCCCCCTGAGAATCCTGAGGTTTGGACCGGACAAGACAGGACATGAACATCCAGCATGGAAAAAAACCAGACTTGACTCATGCAAAGCATCACCAGCCACCATCCTTTCACCAGCCACCGGCACCTCCGTCCCCCATCCGCACTCGCCGCACTCGCCGCACCTGGCGGTCCACCTGTCTCAAGCACTCGTCGAACGGCATCGGTGCACTGCTGGGCCAAGCGAGGACTCTTCGAGGCTGCTGCCAAGGGCACCAGACCGTTGAGAGCGTAGGGGAAGTCCTGGCCCAGGTGGCCCAGGTGGCCGAGGTGGCCACGGTCAGAAGGGGGGGGGGACGGAGGTCATGCGCGTGCGCAGCGTGCCAGACGGACACATGTCGGTGGGTGTTCACCAAAGGTTCCCGTTGTTCCCAGCCAAGCTGAAGGATGATGCACTTGTCATCAAACACCATGAGAAGGGAGTTGGGTCTTCACCAGCCAGGCTGATTTCGGGTTGGCGAGTGGCTTCCAGTGCTTGCGGATCCAATCTAAGGCTACCTTTATAGAGTCTAGAGATGTTCCGGCCAAACCCCAATCTGTAGAATCAGCCACTGGTCAAACCGCAAAAGAAGGTTGGCCAAGGCAGGACATGGTTGGGAGATCTGAATCTCATTGACGTTGAAGATTCCTAAGATTCCTTTGCCCGTCCTTTCTTCCTGTCCCTTCCTGTCCCTTTCCCTTCCCTTCCCTTTCCTTCCATCTGAAGCCTGGATAAAAAACCTCTTAGGTTCATGTTCTTTCTCCCATTTGGCATCGTTTTCGCATGAGAACTTGTTCGCAAAACTGAACAGCTGAAAAACACATCAGTCCCGCACAGTTCGCCTCCAGCAAGCTGGAATACGAAGACCTAGGGCTGCAGGATTGGCTCGAAAAACCACTCACTCTGCAGAGTGGAACGACTCAAATTTCGTCAACACCCCCCTGAGCTTTTCTTTCCAATAAGGTCCCTAGAGTGTCGAATGCACCCCCGAAGGCCACCGTGCCATTTCGCGAGAGCGCATGAGACGTCTCTGTTGGTTGTGAATCATCTAGGGGCCAACTTGGAGTCATGTTGGGCTGCTTATCGGTACCACACAGTCACCTACCATGCTATTAGAGTCCTAGGTCCAGAAAACTCCCAAGGAACTACTCACTGGTCATTCAAACGGATCTTCACCACCAGTGAAACACTGGAAGTTCCGAGCTGCCCTTGTGGCCTGCTGCAGGAACGCAAGAAGAGGTGGAATGCGGAGTGGTTAAGAAAGAGCAATCGGCTCCTCCTGCATTTCATGGTGCACCAACTCCGAGGCCTGTGCTAAGCACTTAAAAAGAGCATAGCTGCTACCGGTGCACAGCTCAGATACCGGTGCACAGGCCAACTATAGTCAAAGCATGGGAAACAGGAAGGAAGGATCTAAATGCTCTATGCTCTTACCCCGTTGAGTGTGCCGTTGGTGTCAGCAAACAGGCAGCGCAGTGAGCTAAATCTCAAAAGCACTGAGTGGAACACAGCTGCAATACATAGATTCCGTCGGCTCATCGCCACTCCCATCATTCACACTAAATCGTTTCCACAGTAGATGACTGTTTTGATATTCGCCCCAGACACGGATGGCAAAAGCTCTTTATATATATATATATGGGAGGTTGATGAAATGTTAGGTTCAGTAGAGGAAACTGGCCGAAGTCTACTGAAGTCAATTCTCAGGGTCCATCGGATCGTCAAAAAAGTCTAAGAGTCTACACTGTCTACACTCCATCATCGAAGTGGAGTGTAGAAAACCACCTGTTTGCTTGTTATTCACATGGTCGGGGCCATGCTCCAAAAACCCAGACTGTAAATTCCAGGGAGTCTGCATCCAATGTTGGGCACACCGGGGTTCATCCGTTGCTGTCCAAGCAGGTCCAGTCCCATCCGGGCCCCAGGACCGACCGCCCACGAAGTTGGAGTCCACCACGGGGGGATAGAACCTCGGTCGTCATGGGTTGAAGGGAAAATCTGGAAACATCAGGAAAGCCCAAGAACAAAATATACAGTACGTCAGCAGCGTGGCTCGGTCAAGCAAGGAAAACCCCAAACCATGGAGTGTTCATCCCCCAAACCATGGGGTTTTCCTGTCGATGGTTTGAAAACTCCTTCGACTCAGAGATCACATTGGACTGAAGGCACGCCAGTCGTCTGCTGCGAAAGGTGGTTTGGGAACGAAACGAAAAAGAAACGTCGGAGGAAACGCCAATCCAAAGATCAACCGGCCATACAGCAGCATACAGAACATCGGCCATGCAGACTCTTGAGATCTCCTTGATTATAAATGTCACCACCCCAGGCAGAAGAGGTTTGTTCAATCCATATCTGGGGGGGTTATGAATCAAAAGCCTACATGATGGATCAGAATTTCTTCGCTGTCATCTCACTATATTTCTACTATTACTATAGTGCTGAGCTGGCAAGTTTGTCTAAACTTGGCACTTCCGCAAGCAGTCAGTACTTTCGCAGTTCCACAAGCGCCCAACATACCGTGCTGGAAGGGTTTCAACATACCGTGCGTTCCATGCGCCGAGCGGATGGGCCCTACCCGTGCTGATCGGAGCGAGGTTCGGATCGGATCGGTCTCGCCATCGGATCGGCACGGTGGCCAGAGAGGCTGAATGAAGACAGAGACGCAGAGACCCTACTTAATGTAGACTCTTGATGAATAACGCCCTCGTTTGAATTGGAAATCCTCTTCATATGGGGATGCCATGAGTCTACATTAGAGTGGATGCCATGCTTTTTGGAACACAAAACCGGTGGCACCAAATAAAAACCGGTGAATATGGCCGGTCCATACAGCCTCACGACCGACCTAGTTCTAGTCGGGGTCCTGGTGTCCTGGTATGGGGTCCCATGTTGGTCACACTGGACCTGCGTGAGCCGGTCACTGCTAGCCTGAACGTGCTGGGTCGAACCCCGAGCTTCCGCGCTCAAAGAGATGCCCCGGCAAGCCGTTGGCGCTGCGCTGCACCACCTGGTCCAAGGAAGACGAGACAAACACAGGAGTGGATGAAATACTTATTATATAATTATATAATATATATATATATATATTGCAAATATACAGTACATCATGCACTCTTGACTCTTGATTCATAAAGGCCGATATACACGTTGCAGTATGGGTGTAGATGGGTACTTTTGACTATGTAACACATCTATATACACACCCTAGAAGTCCAGTTTGACTATACTTTTCCTACGTGAAGCAAAGGACATTCCCCTTCAGGCACCCTAAAGACCATTCTCTTATAGTCATTTATATTGTATTGTATACTGTTTTTTCTACTAGCTGATATATATATATATAATTATATATATATACTACCCATCTGGTGCTCTTATTCCGAGTGTAGCTGTAGCTGGGTATCTGTTGGAGTAGGGGAACCCCACCTGGCGCGCAACGAGGTTGCAACTGTTGTGTTTTCTATTGCGAAAGGGGATGTGGCCCGCGGCTGTTCCAATACAAACTCATGACCCAATGGATCGATGGTGAATCCCCTCTCAGCCCTGGTGTTCTATCCACGAGTTTTCTATCCACAAAAAGCATGTCCAATAGGGCTACAGTAGCTCTCTAGATGTCTGCCGCTGCGTCTGCCGCTCCTTGCTGCGCATGTGATCGATGTAGGGCGCTTTGTCTTTGTTCACTTGGTCAAGTCGCCTGTCATTCTGACTGGGTGTCCTGGCTGGAGGTCCGTAAGCATCATATGCCTCTAGGATAGTCTGTAGGGTAGTCTAGCCAGGACACCCAAACAGGATGACCCAGCCAGATTTCTGGAGAACACACATAAAACATCAGTAAACCAACAACACGCACCCCTCAATGCTTTCAGGTGGCACCTGATGACCGGTTTTCCAGGAGACTGGAAAGGTTTCTTACCGCCTTCGGGTTGCTTTGTGGGATCTTTGTACATTCAAAAAGCTTTCCTTGCAGCTTCAAGATTCATGTTGGTTTTCATAGTCAGAACTCCTCAGATGCTCCGCGTCACCTTAGTCTTTTATATTGCCTTCCACATCCCACATCCCCTTTCAAAGGAGCACATCCCACATCTCACCAGGTCTCACCACTTCATCCGCAAGTTGCATAGTAGGTCATTAGGTAAGCACTTCATCCAGTCCCTTCATCCACCCTCACCTGCAGAAGCCATCCATGAGTTCCATCTGGCCCCTTCACCCGCCTCCTCGAGCCACCCTGTCGGCGTCACCGAACCCAAAGGTGGCGCCCGGGCGCGGCGAGGTCGCCTTGGACGGTCCAGGGAGTCCCTTGGACACTGCGAAGAAGAAAAGGATAACCTGTTTAGTGTGACATCATCCACCGGTATATGTGAATCACCGAAAAAATAAAAATAAAGGTCGACCTGTGCTTCCAAACCTGTCCCCCCCCCAACCGGCGCCGAGGCTCGGTGCACGCTCTCTCGGCTCGGCCTGGCGGCCGTGGTGTGTTTGGTGCCACGGAGGACGGAGAGCGGTTTCACCGGCGGCGGCTCGGGGCGCCTGGACCGTCAGGAGCTCCTCCAGGCGAGCCACTTCTTCACAGTCCGATGGATCCAAAGCACCTCCGATACGGTTCGACAGCTACGGTTTGGGTGTAATCAGCTTGGTGGAGTCCGGGTTGGTAGGGTGAGAAGTGATCAATGGTCTTTGGGGCGATGAATGGCGATGATAGTACCCTGATGTATAAGACTTAGACAATAAGACTTAGACATACTTAGACGGGGAAACCTCGACGGAAGGAACTGCAAACGTATCCCGACTGCAGCTGCCTGCCAGCTCATTGCGCAGTGCGGCAGACGCTGACAGAAGCTCGGCCGCCTCCGATTCGTGCATGCGTGGGAGACTTGGGATGCTCGTGGGTCGGCAGTGCTTGGAGGTGGAAACGCCGACCCCACGTTCGCGCTGGAAAGGCTGTAGCCTAAGCCTTTATCAGAAGGAGTCGGATCATGGGATTGCACCAAAATGAGCCGCTGACGTCACCAGGTATTGGTTATGCGCTCGTCATGCGATTGAAGGACAAGAACTCGTTTTGGGAATCTCGCAGCTGTCTCTGTGGATGTGTTCCATCCAAAGGATAGGAGCCCCCCCCCCAGAGTCCCACACCTCACAGTGGTTTCAGAGTAGATAGCACAAACCCCAAGATTTCTTTTATGTGCGGGTCCGTATAAACCAACAAACTTGGGGATCGAGATATATATATAGATATGTGTATATACTCTCCTGGACCCGGCTCTACAGGTCTCCTCTGGTGGCTGAAAGGCAGACTTAAAAGTCGCAGGTGGTGACCTGGCAGGTTTCGGGTGCTGGCTGAAACTAATATGATCATATTCCACTGCCACTGGGACTGGGCCTGTGCTTGTGAGGGCGGTGGTGCTCGGGTAGGGGATTCGATGACACTTCCCGCACCTGGTGGTTCAACTTTCGCATACAAGCCGGGATGGAAAGATGGTATTCCCATGCCCTAGGCTTCCAATCACCATTGATTTAGTATTTACCGAGCCACCATTGTTCTACCAAGGACTTTAGACTGCAACACTAGGTCAACCCATAGTGAAAACGCACATGTTGGACCATGCTGGACACCAGCAGCTCAGGGGGGGCTGCACATCCGAGCCAGCCCAAACTGAAGTTTCTGAGAAGGATTAAAGGAATTCTCGTCCAAATCCAATGATGTCCGCCCTTGGGAACAATAGATCAGATAATATAATACAGTGGTCAGTTGAATGTACTACAGTACATATTGGTTGTTCGCGACCAGGGGTCCCCTCTATTCATCAACCAACGCTATTTATGATCCAAGTCCTCTGAATGTGCGCAGGTCTTCCAATCCTCTATCTGCTTCGTCCCTGGTGAACACCTTCAATTGGTCCCTCCTGACCGCCGCGTGTGGTGTAAGCCACGTGTGTCGGGCTGCCACGCGTATGGTGTCGTGCCTCTGGATCTTGAAGTAACTCCAAGAAGGCTGGCCAATTGGCTGTTGTCGGCCTCTCAGGTAAGTTGCACACGACACCGCTGATGGACGGCAAAATCCTGGTCCCCGACTGATGAGGCGGGCAACAACCGTGACACTCACCTGGTCAACCCTGATGTTCACATCAAACCGTTGACAACATCAAAAAAACAACAACAAACAACGTCAATGCAGGTCAATCTTTGAGACAGCCAGCCACATCTTCTTCCTCTTGGCAATTCACCCGACTTTCAGGAAATCAGGAAATTGGCCCCCAGTCCAGCCAGAAAATCTGGATGAAACTGTTGGAAACCACTTTCACTCCCCTCCTCCACCTGGTGAACGATTGTCCGACCTCGTGTCACCTGGTCTGTGGTTTTTTTCGTGTCACCTGGTTCCATCCGACGCAGCTCCTTTTTCGAGCTCCTTCTCTCCAGAACGTCGCGTCACGTTGAGACTCACCAGGTCCTAGGCTTTCAAAAGGGTGCCAAAAGGAAAAGTGCAACAAACAAATGAAAACAAAAACGTGCCAAGAAGGTCAGAGGCAAAACGCTGCGATTGGTGTGCACGGTTCCTTTCGGATTGGAGCTTCCCGGAAGCACCACCCTTTAACCGTTAAGCGTGTCACTCTAGCCTTTCTGACATGCCTCTCCTGTGTGGCCTTTGTAACGCGTTTTTGTTCACGTCCGAGGTCCGCCCAATTCACCGAATCTGATGCAGTTCACACCGGCCACAATGCAGATCAACAGTGTTGATGCGAACAAAATTCTGCCATGCGAACAAAATTCTGCCTCAAAACACCAAACATCTTTGTCATATTGAGTAAAGCATAGCTTGCAAGCCTTTGTATCTATAGCAGGACACCCCCAAAAAAGCGAGTTTCTTGCACCTGTTTCACCCCCCAAAGAAGTCCTAGTGGTCCAGTTTTTTCCAGTTCCATACCCAAGAAGGACCTCTCTGGTAGCTACACAGGATCGATTTTCTTTGAGGATGAGACCTCTTTTTCTAGTTTACACTCCCGAAAACTAACATAGACCCTGACAATGGCCCCATGGAAAGATGATTTTCCTCTACCAACCAGTGGTGTTCAGGGTCCACGATAGTCTTCCAGGGTGTAGTTCTGGATCTCTTCAGGGTGTCACACCCCCGCGACTCACTTTTGCAAGCACCCCCAATTTCAGGAGGAACACCATCTTCCACAGGGCTGTTCAACAAGCACAAACACTCCATCACCACTGGAAGATATCTCTACATCGACCCTTCAAACCACCCCCCAAATGATCCAGTCCCATGGAGTGTTTGGGATATCCATCCACCCAAACCCTCCTTCCCCCGTCCCCGGACTGCCGAACCCCCAGACACCGCGCAACGACGCCAGTACCCGCGCCACGACGCACGATCGTCCATGGCACTGTCCCTGGGCTGCCGGCGCACTCCAGTCATCGGCTGCGGCAGGCGCATCCCACGAGCCATCGCCCGCGGCGTTGGTCATGTCGTCCCAGTTGCCCCCAGTGCCTGACGTTGGTCGTGAAGGAGGGAGGCTGAAGGAGTCATTTGGATCCGAGACGGGTGAAAGGTGTCAAGAACATACCAAAACCACGCGCCAGCCCCACCGAAAGCACCTGGACGACCCAATCTTTTCACCGAGAGAAGCGTCACTTTACCCATCTCCAGCCACCAGCCCTGAAAAACCCAGGTGAAAAGGAGGGGTGTCACAACCAATGAGCACTGGATGCTCGGGCGGTGCACTGGACCTTGCGAAAACGGTGACTGATCCTGATCCCGGCGATGTTGCGTGGCAAAGTGGGGAGATGATCCATGGCACTGTTTTTTCAAGATGGGTCTTTGTCCACATCCATGTTGCAAGAGAACAAAGTGTCTTCACAAAAATCATCTTTTCACTTTTCACTGAGCTCTGAAGAGGCGGCATTTTGCGGCCTCACCAGTGAGAAAGGATAGGGTCACGCAGACCTCCAACTCAAGAGCATAGATCGTTGACGATCGTCCACCTCAATTGCCAGCCGTGGGTCGCTCCCAGCGGCTGGCAAGCATGTCATCCCTGCCGCCCTCCTTCTGGTGGAGCCACCAGGCAGCTGTCGTTGGAACCATTCATCGATGATGTCCCGTCGAACTGGTGACCACGCAACTGGCAAGCATTGACACCAGTGGGACAGAATGGCCGATCCGGGCCACTGCAACCGAAACAACCGAGGTGCCTGTAGATGTTGCAGCATCAGACGGAGAGCTTTACTGAACCATTTCACTTGGACAGGAAATTCATGACCTCGAAGCCTTTCAAGTCCAGGGAGATTAGGATCACTCCATCGGCGAGTGGCCGAATGGAAGTAGGGGCCTACCATGCCGAAGGCCATCTGGTAGTCTACATAGAGCTGGGCTGGGGACACCCAGCTTCCCCATACATGGCCTGTGCAGACCGTCTGGAACCATTTCCACAGGCGATGAGCCTGATGGGAACCAAACACACTCAGCAATGCGTGCGGCATGGATGTCTCCTGCGAACACTGCACACACTGGGCCAATGGTAGGCGTGCTTCCAGGACAACTTGACGCATCTGTGGCCCCCCTTCCCGAGGACGAAGCCTCAGTGACTCTTCCCCAATGTTGCAATGAAGTTGCACAACATAGTTGCTAACTGCTTCTGCTTCCTGCAACTGAGATAGTAGGCGAGTCCACACTTGCCAAAATTCCGGTGGCCGAGCATAGTTAAAATGCTTAGCCTGCATGTCAGCCTGATCGTTGAGTCCTCTTGCCCAGTCCTCGACCGGGCCCGCCACCGAAGAGCCTACATGCGCAGCAACTTTGTGAATCGTGATGTCGTGGTCACGGCCCAGTTCAGTCCCAATTTGTTCCCACAAATCTGCGTCATGGGCATTCGAACGCCCAGGGAGAGGAGTTGCAAGCAAGAGCTTCACCTTCTTTACCACGTTGTCACAATCCGACCATATTCGTGTGCGTCGACCAGAACGAATCCCTATTCGAATCGCTGCTAAAACTGCCACCAGTTCTGCTCGGCCACTTGTTCGCCACAATCCATGGAGTGCCCCCCCCAGCGAGGCAGTCCGACCAACCATCATCAGTTGCCATCGACCCTTGGAGAACTGCCCAAGCCGCAAATCTCATCCGCGGGAATTGGGGAAAAAGGCAGCTACCATCTGTAAACAAGTCCAACTCTCCTCCCCCAACAGGAGTCTCCAGCTGATGAGATGCATCGGGAATACTATCCAACAGCTGGAAAAAAGTCAATTGAGCTGGTGGGGCTTGTATCCAACAATGCAAGCGTGTACACTCAGGCAAGGATTCAACATGCGATGGTCGGAGATGTGCCAGTTGGTCTCGAACATGGGCAAAGGTTGAACAGTGCCAAATGCGATGCTCAATGCTGTCTTGCTCACCACAATGGAGGCACTTGTCATCCCCATCCGTTGATGAGTACTTGAGACCATCCTGGGTGAAGAAGGTGCCATCATGAGCTGTACGCAACAACCCACGTTGTACATCTGTCAATGGCAGGTGACAGCCTTGTGACAACTGAGCATCAGCCAGGCCCATGCCTGCAAACCCCCGACGTGATTGGCACAGTGTCCCAACCATGGTCTGCCAAGCATAAACAGCCCGGAACTCCAACTCTTTGAGAGAGATACGCCACAAGCTGAATGCCCCAATGCGATCCAACAACAAACCTTGTGACACATCCCAGCTCCATTGAATCCGGAGGCAGCCCATGAAGAACACCCACAGAGGACCCGGTGGAAACTTGCCCTCCTGTTGAGTAAGAATCCACTGCAAATCAATTTGGACATCCTGCTCATTCTGGAGTCGTCGAAAATCCAAAAGAGTATGCCAGATGCAAAAAATTCCGGATCATGAACAGGGTGAAAATGCATGCTCAGCAACAGCAATGAATTTGTACCCGGTTTGTCGAGATTGAGGCCTCGCACAGCTCCTGCTCTCAATGTGACAAATTGCTGTTCCAAAATCCGAACCGATGCGCAAGCATGTAAAGCCCGAGGCCAGGCCGCTGTTCTCACTGCCCGCAACTTCTGAGCGAAAGGAGCACATGACACCCGAAGTCGCCCCCATAATGGAGCCATGGCTTCAAACCTAACTGCCTGTAGGCCTGTAGTATGGCGTCGCCCATAAAACACACAGCCTCCCAAGTCTTTGGCCCAATGTTGCAATGGCAGATGTAGCTGTTTCAACTGCTGCCGTTGATGACCGTGAGTGGCCCAGACGTACGTTTTGTTCCAATCCACTTCTAGTGCCATGATCTCAGTGAAATCTCGGAACTCGACCAAGGCCATCTGGAGAGCCCTTGGGGAGGTTGCCGTAATCTCCCAGTTGTCCACATAGGAAACAGGTGTAACCATGGGCACTTGTGTAGACATCCAGCAATCGAAACTAATAGCAACTGCAGCCATGGCCACGCATGACAAGGGATCACCCTCTGGAAAGCCATTGCATCCAACCACAGGGGGTCCAACGGATCCCCTGACCCGAAAATGCCGCTGAAGGGGAATGACGGCTCCTGCCCAAGCCCGGATCAACCCAACTGCAAGACCCAGTTCATTGCAAATCATCCACGTGGGAAGACGAGGAAGGACATTGAATGCCTTGACCAAATCAGCCACCAAGCCAACGACTGGGCGATCATAGATCTGAGCCTGCTCAAGCCTTCTCTGCAAAGCGAACCAAACTTGACCTGCAGTTTTTCCGGGCAAATTCCCAATGACCTGGGGACTCGCAAGATGTCCCAAATGACCTAAGGCTTGGCGAGCCCGGATAGTACTCCAGACCCGATACACCATGGACAGTACAGTGATTGGGCGGAACTGCTGCACCTTAGTTGCACCAGGAACTTTTGCCAATGCCGTGATGATCCCAACCAATGCTTGTTGTGGCCAATGACCTCGGTCTTCAGCATAATGACACAGATCAATCAATTCCTGTGTCAACCCATCAGGCATCTGGAGTAGATCAAGGCGACTGATCCCATCCGGCCCGGTAGCCGAACACT